CTCGCAGCACCCTAAACTACCAATTCTATATATATTCATAGCTCAACGACTCAAAAATTGGGCTTCGCCGCTCGAATAACTCATAACTCCGAAATATGAGCCCTAACTTCCAAAATTACTTCGATTAGACGAACAATTGGCTCGAATAGTTACCACGCGTTGCGATTCATAGTTGATTCGGCTAGTTGGAGTGTCCAGGTCGGCTATGCGTGTCAATTTCTCTCTCCTCTCTTCTTTCCCTCTTTCCTTCTTCACGGTCGTGCGTCTTCTCCTGCTTCCTTCATTTACTCCGCAGGCTTCTGCGCTTCATTTGTTGAAGCAGAAATAAATTGGCTGGGCTTGGGCTTTTAAGAGACATGGCTGGGTTTTTATGGGCCCAAATATTACAACAGTAATGGCGGACCATAGACTGGTAGTGGGCGATCGTATCCTGTCGAAAAATAGGAACCAACACATGATTCATGAGGAAGTGATCCTTATGTTCCTCCACCACAACAACATCTCTCTCTCTCTCTCTCCGCTGGAACACACAATATATTCTCAGCCACAAGCAATCTTCCCTTCGCATCGGGGCAAATCTCGGGGATAGATACTCCTCAATCATCGACAAAGGAGGTGTGGTCCATCCACACAGCTTGTACCTCCAAACTGTCCTCGTCTCACTGCAGAACTATGACATTATGGGGACATGATCGCAGCTTTTTTGGAGTCCAAATAGTCTATTCCATTGACTAATCTCATCATAGAAGGCCTCGTTCGGGGTAGAGGCGAGAGTTGATTAGAAACCCACGTGAGGTGAAAGTTTAAGTTTACATGTGGAGCGAGAGTAATGCATAAGCGGAAGTCCACCTCTGTCGTCGCCGCGGGACGAACAGAAATCGAGTATTATATCACGGGTCTTCATTACGCGGAGGCCGGGTGATGGGCCTAGCCCGTCACGATTCGATGATCCAGGACTGACTTGGTTAGGATGGCAGCAACAAGTAGCACGGTGAGTCCCATGATGACATTTCCGCGTCGTCCTGATGTCATGCGTCACGAGTCTGCCACTAACTCATGCGAGGATGTGTCATTTGCCTAAAAGGCAAGTAACACACCCACTATAGATGATCTTCTTGAAGGTCGTTTTAATTCTCTAAAATGAATCCCAACTTGAGGAGGTTCAATCCCAATTCTGACATTTTTTTTTCTAAAAAAAAAACTCTATTTTTTACTGTAATCCCAAATCTGCCCACGCGTCCAAAAATTGCCACTAATTTTCTTCAAAATTATCAATATCATGTTAGTTAGATGTTCATTATCAGAGCATGCATCTTCATTGATATACTTACCTTCGTATGAAACGACAGCAACTTCTCAATATTGATAATCATGCAAAAAAAAAAAACCAATGACGATTTTTTGCCCCGTGAGCAAATTTGGGACCAGTGTGAAAGTTACGAAATTCTTTTTAGACAAAAAGAAAAAATTTGGAGCAGAATTTGGGATTGAAACTTTAAAGTTGGATTTTTTTTTTTTTAGAGAATTAGCCCCTGTAGATCTATTCAACTGGAGTATTTCTGTTGAGCTCTCAGCTGGTGTTTTGAGCCTAAGTTGTCACACATAGCCTCGTATAGAATTGACCACAAAATCTGCATCTTGCGTATACCATAGACTGCTTTAATGAGCCTGCCTAGCTAATACTATCTTCTTGCCTTTTTCCCCTTCCTATCCACAGTCTCCTCAGCATCACTTAAGGCACTATCTAGAGACAGCCACAATGGGCGAATTTTTCTCCTTAGTTGTGACCCCAGAAGACTCGCAAAAGCAGAAGAGAATTGGAATCTCCAGAATTGAAAAGGGTCATCAGAGATTCCCAATCTTTGAGCCCAAAAGGAAAGAAAAAAAATTGGTTGATTCCTTGTGTGATATGCTCTACTCCACGTTCCCCCCCATCAGATCAAGGAGGAATAACAAGACTTTCTTAACTTCAGCTCAGTGTTATTATCTGTTCTCTCAGTCAGTTTCTTCGATTCTTTCCTGCTTTGCTCTGCTTTGTTTTCTCTGAAGCCACGCTACCACAGTATGTCGAAACAGAGGAGATCCGGAAAACGAATGCCTTTTCGATTACTAATGGTAACTAGAATAACATCCCGCGATCACGACCGACTTAAGATACATCGAATCTCGGCGAAGAAGCTCGGGCCACGACTCCGAGCAATCGCTTTCGCGCAGCAAATCCGTAAAATTCCGATTTCGCCGGGTATTGCCACGAATGAAAAGGAAAGAAAAGTGAGAGCAGCTAGAGTCCTAGACTCCACTCCAATCCACACAGGAGACTCTAAAATATGGTCCTCAGGAACTGAACTTCCTTGGTGCTTGTACTGCTTTCTAAGTCTCATTTTCCAGGACATGTTCCCTTAACTGGTAATTTGCACGTTTTTTTGTTTTTGCAATACTAAAGGATATGAAAATGGAAAGTGAAAAAGAATAAATTCTCTTATGGGGCATGGACAGTTAATATGCCTGTTTTGCTGTGTACTGAATGGATAGAACCAGCTTCCCTTTTTTCTTGATGCCGAGGAGATAGAACGGTGAGAGGGTGACGGTACACGGCCACAAAATAATTTACTCATCGTAGAAATAAAATGGTTATCATGCACGCCCTTACTTATCAGGTTTCAGAAAATTAAAATATGAAAATCGATTTTTTCTTCTTATATATTTATGTATAAAAGGCAAGTTGTGTCGAGGAAAAAAAAAGTAAGTTTTGTTTCAGAAGCTACTCAATTTTAATTCATAAAAGGTGAGTTTTCTTTTTTTCTTTTGTAATACATGCATGAGTACTTTTGACTTTATTGCTCTTCAGTGAAGCACATAGATGATCGCAACGCATCATGAAGTGAAGGAAACCCACATAAGCACTTCATATGTCGTTAATATTTCACGTTCAAAACAAGCAATGTATTGTTGTTGAGAGATTTATGTGCATCATCATGACTATTAGAATACTAGATAAGGGTAGGCCAGCATAAAATCAATAGAAAATGGTGCAAGAGAGTTCATAAGTTTGGTGGCGGCCGTTCTCATTTATTTCTTCTTGGGATAATGGTACCGCTAATCCCGTTCTTCTTAACTTATTCAGTTTCTTTCGTACACTTCTTTTCCGATCAATGTGGTCCCTAAAGTATGTGTTCCTCCTTTCAAGTTAGAGCTTATATTGAGAATGCAAATTAAATGCTGACGTGGACCAACACCGCAACGTCATGTAAGCGCCGACTAGGCAATAATATTAGAAAAATGAAAAGAAAAAAATCTCAGACCCTAAGAGAGCGAGAAAGAGAGAAGAATGAGGGAAAAAGGTGGTGGCTCCGCTTAGGCGCCATTGAGGGCCGTTGAGTCCTTATAGGCCTCTGGCCGACCACGGCATGAGCACTACCCGGGCCGGCTGAAGTAGGACCAAGCGACCTCCGGCCAACCGTCGCTAGCATCACGCAACCTTGGCGAGAATTGGTTCGCCTTGGGTCATGATACACCGGCCAACCATCGCCGCCGGTTGTCACAACCCTAGCCACCACCAGACAGTGGGTACTGGCCCCTGCAAGTGGGCTCGGTTCTTGATAGGGTTAGCATGCCTCTTTTTTGTTTTTTTTTTTTCATTATATCTGTCTTGTTTTATATTTATAAAAGAAGTTGAAGGTGCCGAAAAATGCCACGTCAACACCGCTTCACCATTTAATGGTGACTAAGGGCGCGAATAATAAAATTTCTCTTCCCTGGCCCTACTTCTGGCTAGAAATAGAAAACTCTATTTCCCCGGACGAGTTCCTGAGCAAAAAGTAGTGTTTGATAACAAAACAAAATTTCCGTTCCTAGAATGAAAATTCGTTTGCTAGGGTATTCTTAAAATTCTATTCCCGTCGGTCGGCCGGCGGTGGGCGGCGGACGGGCGGTGAGCGGCGGACGGGACGGCTGGCAAGCGGCGGGCGGGGGGTGGGGGTGGCGGTGAAGGTGAAGGTGAGCAATAAAAGAGAGCTGTTATTTCTATTTCTGTTCCATAAATAAAAAAGTATAAAATTTTAACTTCTCATTTCAGTTCCAAATCTATTTCCGGGCTAAAAATTTGTCTCAAAAATAGAAAAATGAGATTATTTTACTAAACGGATTTCTGTTCCAAACCTGTTCCCGAGAAATTAAAAAAAATAAAAAAATATAGGGAAACAAAATAGTTTTCATTCGCGCCCTAATCGATCACATCAGTATTTTCATTTACTTTTTTAATGTGATGGCCACTTTGAAACGAAAAAACCATATTATTTCGAGACCACAATGTCCAAAAAACATAGGAATTAACCCGTACACAGAAATTAGCTGTGCTGTTATACCCTTTTTTTTTTTGTTAGCTTCCCCTTTAAAAGTAAGTACGGTATGTGTATCTTATAAAATTGATATCTAAATTCCTTAACAAGTCCCAACCGGTTGCCATGGACCTGTGAAATAAATATGTGGTCACTATTGCGCGGTTATTAATCAGAAACAACGGCATTGTCTGTCCTCTTAGCAAGGTTCATAGAACAATTTATCTTCTCCTGAAGTTGAACTGTCACATAGAAAAAATTTCCGAAGTTTTCTGTTGTCGGTTTTCGATTCCTAGGTGGTTGGACTCCTGCCTTTCCTGTACTCAGATCATCGTAAGAACAAGCTCTACGTCTACGGTATGTTCGTGCGTCGTTCAGGAGCCTATTAGATCGATCTGGAATTAAAAGTTCAAATGGCTTGGCTTCTGTCATGAAGTTTCCAGGGGAAAACACACAGAGACAGCGCCACAATGCACAATTAGATCAGAACCAGCCTGAAAATTATGAAGCTGTCTTGATAGAAACCAAGAAGGTCACACGGGATTGGACTGAAACTGAATTTTTACAAGTTCTTCGGTAATATTACCGCAGGGTTCGCCTTACAATAAGCAAGACGCTTGATCATACCAATTTTCTGTAGATCGATATTCCCGTTCCGTTAAGTTATGTATCTAAAAACAGTCTCGGTATTGTCTCAGAAACCTTAACACATGCATAGTGCAGAGACAAATATGCAAGTCCAACTAATCTATTCCTCTATTGACACTCTATATCACATCAGCTATATTTCACCTATTACAAAGAATTCTCCTTTTTTCGTCCTCTCTCCTGTTCAAGAAAACTAGGGGCTGCTAGTTGAAAATGCAGATCAACCTAACTCATCAACCTGTATCGGCAGGTCCACCTCTCCTCCTGGTGGATGTGTTGCTCCTGCCGCATCGGAAATAGCAGGCGCTGGAGGCGGAGGTTCTAGTAATGACTGGCGGCAAGTGGGGCACGAAGAATGAGATACCAGCCAAGTGTCGATGCATCTCACATGGAACCCATGGTGACACTTCGGAAGCACCCGCACTTTCTCGCCGTCCATGAACTCTGCAAGGCAAATTGGGCAATCTGTGGCCGGGATATTTATTCCCACTCTGTACACAGTGACAGGAATCTGGCGCAGCGCGCTCTTCTTAAGTCCTGTGGCAGCCAACCTAGCAGCTGTCTGATCGGGGGTCTCGAAGGTGAACCTCCTGCTGCACCGGAGCGCGCATCTCACAATCGAATTCAATCCCAGGGCGCAAATCAGGGCGCAGAGCAGGGCCGCGAGTATGATCACCATGTTGGTGTCGAAATTTGCCTCGTTACCGTAGGGTCCCCGAGTCCGCGTCCCATTGTTCTGCACAGAATCAGGCTCCTTGTCGAGCAGCAGGCGGTGTGGATGGTGGTGGAGCGCGGCCATGGGAGACGTTGCTTCCCTCACGAGCATTAGGCCAGAACAGAACCCAGAAAACCTCTGAACCCTTTAGAGCTAAATCTGTAGCTCCCAAACAGATACGTAAGTTACTTATGCAAAGAGGCTTGTCCTTTCATGTGTGAGGAACTTTTCAGCGGCAAATCGGACCACGAAAGATATCGAGAGCACGAAATTCATCATGCTCAATTGTTGTATTAGACTTTCTATCTTCAGTTTCGAAGCACCGGAGGACTTGGACAACTGTGAAAGGAAATATTGCACAAAAGGGAAGTGAGGAAAAGCGTGAGGGCCGATGCTTCTTGGGTTCTTGACGAGTGATATCACAACACAGAGAGAGACAGAGACAGACAGACAGAGAGGTTCAGGATTTCATGGCAAGATATGGAAAGAGCATCCGGAGGTCAATTCAAAAGCTGAGATGAGAGAAAAGAAGAGGAAGTAGTAGTTAAACCTTTAAGCTACTTCCTCAGAACAATACTCCAGAAGGAAAAAGAGATCAAGATGACTAGAATTTCGGCTCTTACCAGTGATGCAAACTCATACTAGTGATCAAGATTCCAAAACTTTTCCCGGAAAAGTATCTGAAAAAACTCTTCTTTCTGCGATCAAAACATGGAAAAGAAAAGGGTTGATCTTTAATTCGTGATCTGATCTCTTTATGAGGAGAATTCGAGGGAAGCTTTGAGTGGTTGGGAGCAGGCCTTTGCTTGAAGGGAAAGGACGGTGGAATAGAGATGGGGGAGAAGAGAATGTGGCAAAATGAAATCAGGGGTATCATGTGTGTTTGATGTCTTTTCATTACATGTCCAATAATTATCGTTTACTGGGGTGAAATGGCAAACAAAAGAACGTGTGTGAAAACTTGAGAATCAAGCAAAGAGATAAATGTTCTTTGGGAATCTTGGATCATGGCACCAGATCCAGCAAATCACAATTAGGTCCTAACCCTTTTTTTCCCTGTTCTCTTTTTTTACTTTGTTGGGGGGGCCTGTGAAATGCTTATTCCAAATACTTCTTCCACTTAGGGACTCATCCCATGTTCAAAGGCCAAATTAATTTGTTCCCTTATCTGTCCACTGGCCAATAGCTGCTCACCTCTATTCAGATGGAGCCAATCTGTGTTGATCATAGTGTGTGTGTGTATGTGTGTGTGTGTGTTGATCATGGTGCGGTGTAAAAGTAAAACATCATGATAAATATGACTTTTTCCTTTTATTTGCTAGATGAATAAGTTGATGGGGAAATTGATTTCCAAATTATGGCTACAGTAAATTTTTTGGTTCCATGTGAGACAATTTTAAAAAAATTATAGGAAGAAGATCAATAGTAAATTTAGGGCAGGGCGGCCGGTCTACCCTTGTTTGGATTTGCTTCAGAAAGGAAGGGGAAGAAATTTCGAGTTTTCATCCTATATTTTCATGCCTTTTGAAAATAAATCATTGTACTTTTAATTTGTCTAATCAAGTCATTTCATTTCACTTCACATCACAAATTTCCTAATCAAGTTCCTCCGACACTAATATCTACCGAATCCAACCTTCGTGATCGTTGGTCGACGTCATAATGGACATGGACAGAGTCTATTTAATGTCACCGTCCGCAGTGATTGAGCTTTATCCACGTCATATCTCGAAGTTGTTTTCATTGGTTAAGTTCAAAAGCAAATATGAACAGTGAATCTTTCCAGACATGCAAAAGAAAGCTAGTACAATGTTTTCTCTAAAGATGCGGTCAGGCGGGGGCACATGTTAATAAATTAGTGTGAGTATCAAAGATGATGCGAAAGAAGAAAAATGTAGTGAAGATATCGAGCAGCATGAACAGATTATTAAAAGGATTAGGTGCAATTTAGATCAATGCACTAGGAAACATCTTCCTCGAAAGCGTGTCCATATCCATCATCTAAGTTGTCTTAACTTGCACTTCTAAACTTATCATCTTTGTTGAAGCAGGTACAGACTTTGAAGCTGCATCTATTTTTCTGCATATTTTTCTAAAAAGCTTCAAGCTTTCCCCACAATTTGACTTCTTTAAATTCTCAATTACCATCATCATGGCTTGGGCCATAGAGTTATGGAGGCAGTCACCACAATTCATATGGGACATTAAAGCTAAGTTAACGTTCCGATACCAGATTAAATATGGAAAAAAGTCAAAATGTCCAGTACGTCGTCAATTACTACAAGCGGGCACCCGCTTCGATTAGTAGACATGAAGGTACAAATCAGGGGAGAAAGGAAAAAAATTTAATGCAAAATCTTAGATCGTTGTGATGAGAAAACAAGTCTTCATGAATCGATCAATGTTAGTTCGAATAGTCCATGTTTTATTGGATCAAGAATGTAAAATGGCGGTCCGGGTGCACAATGGCCTCGGCTATTACTTGGTAAAGGAAACTAAACAAGCTCTTCGACTAAACGAGTGGAAGGAGCCTTTGATTTTTTTGAACACAAGGAGCCTTTGATTCACTCGCTCAATTTCTCCTGTGATAGTTTCCTGCATGAAAGGGACCCCTCTGTCTTCCTTGATTACTGCTACTGTTTGTGACCACGGCAAGGGGTCAAGTCCAAGGCCTGTGTGGCTTGTGAAGGAAAAGACTTGAGCTAGGGGGCACGTAGGTGTGGATCATGTCTTGTGGCTCTGATATTTCAAAATCAAATTTCTTGCATTGGCCAAACCCTTAATGAGCACCCAGTGTGCATAATTGGTTGATGTCCCCATCAAAATTTCCAATTCATGGGCCATGGAATTCCCAAATCATACACATAACCTCTCTCTCTCTCTCTCTCTCTCTCTCTCTCTCTCTCTGGTGTGATTGCTACCAGAAACATCTCCAGTTCCATCACTAGACAGGCATGCCTTTATTGTGTTGTCTTCACCTGCTCTCTCCTAACCCTACTAAATCAAGGTTTTTTTACTTGGTCAATAACGTGAAAGATGATGGTTTCTAGGACTCATGAGTACTAGATGCTCATCTCATGAACGTGTCACGGATTGCTGAGAGTGGTAGGAGGGAGTTGAAAATGTTGCTTCAAGAGATTAGGAAGTTAAGCACTTAACTAAACCCGTTTTTTTTTCTTTCCGAAAAAATCGAGAGTGGCGATTCGAATTCACGATGAGCTCGACTTCTCTTGGCAAAAGCAAGAACACAGTTCTCTTCAGCAACTAGAGATTTTCGTAGCAACAATGTCCGATTGATCATGAGATTTTGTTGTTAACACTATCGAATACATGACAATCGATACATGAGACGGTTAAAGTCGTGATACTAGGATTTCATGGTCATCTCCCTCCTAAGTTTTTTTTTTTTTCTCTTTTCCCATTTCTGGGGAAGCCTGAGCCCACCAAACATGGCTTGCACAGTTGAGAGCAAACATGATCAGGCCTGTGCCACATGCATGGCAAGTGATGGAAATGTCAAAGTGCATGGAGTCCCTACAAGCTACTACATGTTTAGGTATGATCCTCATTGAAAATGAGTAGGGTTAACATTGGTTCATGTTAACAAGATTTGACGGCCACGGCCCGTCTGAATAGCCTTTTGTCACTCACTTCCTGTCTTTTCTTTTTTTCTTTTTTTTGGGACTAAACGTGAAGATAATGATCTTGCTTAACATTGCCAACCCATGGAATTATATTGCCCATTGGCACATAAATTCAACTCCATATGACCCACAACGCTTGCCAAGATGTGAATGAACTCTTGTCCTTTCATTGATTGAAAGAGGCAGAAATCCGGGTGTATGCACAGGATTAAAGAGAATAGTCATGTGGATTGATTTGAAGAGATATATTATACGTTAGTACGGATTACCATGATAAACCCTAATCCTTTCCCATCAATTGATGATCGATCCGGCAAAGTGGTTTGTTAATCCGTTGTTGCCCATTCTTACCACTGTTGCCAATCTTACTTCAAGTCTTTAATAGCATGATTATCGAAGTCTTCAACGGATGATTAGATCTGACTTGTTTAACGCTTTCACATCGACATACCCTCATATTGATGTAGCTCATTATATCCTCCAGTTCATTTAGTTCAAGTCACGGTTCAGTCTGTGCCAAACATCATCCGTGTTCAATCTTTTTCCACGGTTCCAAAAAATGGAGAAACGCTTTGCACGAGCTGAACGGTTGGGTCAGACACGAGCGCATTCACGGGAGGGGTTCAATTACGCGAAATGAATGTGAGATCGATCGCCGTCCATATCCACGATCAACCCAAACCCGCAATTCATCGGATCTAGATAATCGATTTCAGCTCGAGAAAAAAAAAATAAAAAAGGGGAGGGGGGTGTTAGAGGATGCCATTTTTAGCATCTCAAATTAGGCAAAATACAGGTGATAATGAGTGCTAAAAATTGAAGGGGAGGAAGAAACACCCCGCCGGAAAAAACGACACCGCTTCGCCTGCGAACCAGAAAAGTTCATCTTCTTCTTCTTCTTCTTCTTCTTCCAGCAGCAAGGAAGAACCACACACTGTCTTCATCGTTCGACGCGAAAACCAGAACCCCCCACGTTTGTCGGACGAGACCAAATGGAGTTGCCCGAACGACCCAATTCCCCAAACCCTAATCCCCAAATCCCCGCCGTGCCCCAATTCCACCACCGCCGCGCCCGCTCCGAGGTCAACTTCCGGATGCCCGATGACGACGCCGCCGCCGCCGGCGACCACCCCTTCGACGACGCGCCTTCCGGGAGCTTCGAAGACCTCGGATCCGAGGACGACCTGCTGAGCACGTACATGGACATGGAGAAGATCGGGGAGAAGCTCGACGGCGGGCCCGGATCCGGCCCGGGGCCCAACGACGCCGGCAGCGGCGGCGGCGGGAGGCCGAGGCATCGGTACAGCAATTCGGCGGACGGGTCTTCGGCCTTGGAGGGCATAGAGGCTAAGAAGGCCATGGCTCCTGATAAGCTGGCGGAGCTGTGGGCGGTTGATCCCAAAAGAGCCAAGAGGTTGTGTGTCATTTGTTCAACTCCTTTTTTCTCACGTCTCTTTGACTTGGCTGCATCAAATTTTGGGCTGAAAGGTTCTTGATTTTGGATTATCTGTGGCGAGGCAATGTGAAAGAGCTGAATTTGGTTAATCAACAATTCTCAGGTGACGTATTGGGGAAACAAATTTTTGGAGATTGAATCAATTGTTGTCTGATTATCGTGCTCGAGTTACTCTGATTGATTTTCATGGCTGCCCCGCCCGCATGATTAGACTAAGGCCATGATGCTGGTGTTGGAGAATAATATGGGGGTTGGTTGCAGGCTAACGGTGTAAATTATGGGTTTGGTGTGGGGATGTTTCCATTGTAATCCTGCTTGGCATACACCTAAACCCATTGCTGTCGATGATGTGACCACTTATAATGAATTATCTTACCATTCGATTCGTTCTCTTTCGCATTAGCTGGATTCGTGTGGTGCTTATATTAATCTCTGTCCATTTCATGGTCCCTCTTGTTGCTTTTGGTCTTTTATATAATTATAATTAAATTCGAGTTCCAGGAATATTGGCCTTGAACTAAACAGTAGCTCTTCCTGACCAAGCAGATTTTTTTTTTGGTTCAGAATAATGCCCAAATTGATGTCCTCCTTGGGCAGCGGGGCTGTACTTTATGCTTCTTAGTTGACACGAGATAGATTGACAGGAGATGCAACCTCAGAATAATGCCAGGATATGATGTTTTTAGGGGGCCGACTTAGGATACAAATTTATTTTGAGAGCATTTTGTTGAAGAATGAGCTTTAAAAGAGATTGTTCTTGATGGTTTGCATTTCTAAGAATGGATGCCTCGCTGTACAAAGTATTTCTCATAACATATTTGATTAGAAGAATCTATGTGAATAGCATGTTGTAGAACAGGATACGATGGTAATAATAGTAAATGCTCTTTTTGGAAACCATGCTGGACAATAGCCTCCACTCGAACTATTTTAAACCTGTGAGTTGGCTTGCCCCTTGCAACATCATGTAATAGGGCTTTTCTAATGGTTCTGAAATCCGAGGGATAAAGAAAGTTGCTGCTGTCAGGAAAGCACTTCACTCTTGGACTTGAATCATCATCATCATCAACATCATTTGCTAAATCAAAGTCTTTTATAAATTTCTAATTTTTCCCAGTTTATCATTAACCCTTCTGTAAGATATTTATCACCATGACTGTTAGTTGTTAGTTCAAAAATCATTTTCCACCTTTTTTTTCTTCTTCCAGAATGCACATGAATGAACAAAATGATCTGACATATTATTGAAAAAGGATTCTCTTCATTGATTTTTATTTCAGATTATTGTTTTTGTTATTTGGAGAAATTTACTATGATGTTCCATTATAGCAATTTGAAGGATGCTCTTCGTCATCAGATTTACTATTATCCTAGTCGTAAGAGTTGTAATCTATGGTACATTAAATTGTGCTCTGAGTAAAGATCTTTTGTGCTACTCTTTGTTTCTTAAATACGTTTGATATTCTTCACAGAATTCTTGCAAATCGGCAGTCTGCTGCTCGCTCAAAAGAGAGAAAAGCAAGGTACATCTCAGAACTCGAGAGAAAAGTCCAGACCCTTCAAACAGAAGCAACTACTCTTTCTGCTCAGCTCACACTTTTTCAGGTCAGCAGTCGATATTTGCAAGATCATGAATTCTTTTTTTGGTATTCTTCTTTGTGTGAGGAATCTTATGATGATGATTAGGATATTGACCAGAATGATGAAGTCCAAACTAAAGATTGGTTCTCTTTATGATAACTCTCGCATTATTTTCAGCGCTTATGTCTGGACTTGTCTATGCTTCTCATGTTGTTCTTCTGTAATTGCATAGTCATTGGCTCACTACTTAAGATCACTGTTGCTTCCTGTGCTGTGTTTCAGAGAGATACAACAAATTTGACTTCTGAAAATGCAGAGCTCGAGCTTAGGTTACAGGCGATGGAACAACAAGCTCAGCTACGTGATGGTATGTGTTTTGCATCATAATTTTGTTGGTCGTAATGCGATCACGATGATAAAGTGCTTACTTAGGTTAGTCAGAAAGGAAGGTGCATCTTCCATTCTTGTTAGAGCTGTTGCTTATATGAATGCTTGTACATGAACATATTATAAACATATCGGGATCAAGGAAGTGGAGCAATTAACACACTTGCGATGCATGATTATCCGGTAGTATATGCAAACTGCATCTTCAGATACTATATGTTATAGGGAACCGCTTTGTGGTTCATTAATAATACATAGCCAGTATGGTAACCGTGGTGACTTGCCGAATTGCAGTGCTCATGTCTGTTATTACCCAGTTCTTCTTTTTCTAGTCTTGAAATTGCATATTTGTTCCTTTCTTTCGTTAGTACCATACAAAGCTGTTGGCTAATCTTCTTTTGCTTAACTTCGAGCACAGCTTTAAATGAAGCTCTTAAAAAGGAAGTAGAGAGGCTCAAAATTGCCACTGGAGAAATGATGACACCAACAGATATCTATAATTTGGAAATGCACCAATATCCATATTCACAACCTTCCTTCTTCCCTCCTCAGCAACAACCCACATCAGTCGACTTCCGAAACATGCAAATGCCTCAGTTCAACATGTTTCATATGAACATAGCAGCTTCAGGGCAATCTCCGACCGTGCCTGCACATTCTCATGGCTTCTCAGAGCTGTTGCAGCAGGATTCCCTTGGTCGATTGGAGGGGCTTGAGATTAGTAATAGAGGGTCACATCTTGTAAAGTCTGAAGGCTCTACCATTTCAGCAAGCGAAAGCAGTAGCACATATTAGTGTAAATTTTATGCTGACACACTCTGTAAGCCCGCCCCCATTGATTTGTCTATAGATCGATCTCTGTAATCATAACAGTATGAGATATTATTTATTCAGCAAATGCGATTCTTTCGATTTCTTTAAAATCCTGGACTCATGTAGTTCTATGTGTTAAAAATATCTCGGAGTTATGTTGTTGGTTGTCTTGGCTGACCAAGAAGTGCCTTATCGTTATGGTGTAGCTTCAGCCAAAAGGAAGTTACAGACATGCATCATCTGTGCCTCTATTATTAGTCAAAAGCCACCATGTTATATGCCGTTAATTTTCAATTTTGAAGTTTTATACAATGTATACCTCAGAAGGTTTTAAACATAGAATATGATGTACCTTCCACTAAGTTCAAATCCTCTTCTGTCAACTCTAGGAACAGCCACGGCCGGCGAGCCACCATCGCTCGACAGACCATTATTAACAGTTTGATCAAGCCATTGTCATCCTGTTTGCATGAGACGAGTGATGAGACATTTTTGGAATCGCCACCAAATGCCAGGTTATAAAAAAGGGTTAATACTACGAAAAAACACAAAATTGATACATTTGTGACAAATTTACTCAAAACTAAATTTTTGACTATTAAAAACTCCAAACTGGTACACCTATAACAAATTTATCCTAAACTTAATTTTTTACCACAAAAAACCTCAAATTTGTATATTTGTGACAAATTTATCCTCTATTAAATTGGATTAATACCATGAAAAATCACAAACTAGTACATATGTGACAAACGGAGGGTAAAACCTTAAACTAGTACACCAGCTAACTGTCATGTGTCATCCAACTCAGAAATTTGACGGTAAAATTTAACGAAAATTAGCAAAGGATAAAATTATCACAGGTGTATCGGTTTGGAGTTTTTGAAAATAAAAAATTAGTTTGGGAGAAATTTATCACAAACGTACAACTTTTGGGCTATTCGTGGTATTAACCTTATAGGAATAGAACCCACCTTACACTAAATCAAGACTCGAGCCATTGTAGCCAGTCAAATCCATCTAGGTTCTTACACAAAAGCTGAGAAAGTACCAGAGCTAATTTGCCTTTGCCCTGGCTATAAAAGATAGATTTGTTCATCAATCAATTTTAGGGAGGTTGGCTCTTTTAACTTTTGCATCATATGCTCATACCATGTTTGCCTGTCATTGTGAAGCTTAGTAGGGAAGCAACACACGCCTAACATGTCAGCTTGTGAGAATCAACAATGGCCTACCTATCCAACTCCCCCCTTTGACCCAAAAAAAAAAAAAAAAAACTTCCCCCTTAAATGCACATGGCATGGAACCCAATCATCTGATCACAATCCTTTCATTCACCCAAAAAAAGAAGAAGGAAGGAAGAACGATGTAGGATTTGTCTGCAATTGTTACAAGTGACCACATTATTAACTGCCCTTTTGATAAGAAACTCCTGAAAAGTCCATGTCACTTGAAAATGAATGGGAATGCTCAATCCATAGCTGGAGGGATAGACACACACCAACTCTATAGTTTTGTTGTTATTCACGTGGACTAACCATAGGTCCTACGATAGTCCATGGGCATTCCAGGCGGCGACCAATGACAAAATGCCGTATGAGTTAACTAACGCACCCACATCCCTCATAGGCTTCCCCTAACTTTCAACCAACATGTTCCTATTCAGTTTTTTGCCCGCCGTGTCCATTAGCAACATGACGTGTGACACTCCTAAATTGCTCACATGATATGTTAACTCTATTAGGCAAAACATAGGGGAGAGAGATGCTTGTAATAGTTTGTGTGGTCTTATTCTCTTGGACCAAATGGATCATACTCACAAGCCAATGGGTCGGATACGTTAGTATTATACATTGGTGTCGCCATGAATTTTTGTGCAACAGTTTTTTTCCAAGACTACATGGTAATCGTTACTACGTTGTAATCGTTACAATTTTTGTGCAACAGTTTTCTGCAATAGTTTGTGTGGTCTTATACATTGTTGCTCATGGCAACGTTAGTATTATACATTGGTAATCGTACCTGTTCACGAAATGGCATTAATACAAGACTACATGCGCAACAGTTTTTTTCCAAACCATATGTCATGACTATAGAGAAAGTTCAGTTTGGCAAGGGTTCAATTCATGTAATTGAGGGCTGTTCAAACAGTTCTGTCAAAGTGGGACAAACAGACAAGCCCTTGTGAAGGGCGGTTTCATTGGTGGTGAACCAAACTACAGCTAGAGAAAAATCCACATGCCCTTTTTGTGGATCTCATTCAATGTTGAACAGCTTTCATGCTGCTCTGGGGGGTCACGGTATCTGTCCTGACCCTACATTTTGGAGGAAATCAGCAGCATCAGGGACAGAAGAACAGGGAAGGGCTTGGAAATTTGCAGGCCTTATTTATTTCTTCTGCAGTGAAGTATCTCATATATCATAGTTGAAGATGCCAATGCCAATGATGTCACTTCAGGTGGATAAGAAAGGGAGATTTTCATATCCTTGATGACCTCCAATTTCCAATTCTCTACACTGTCACAATGTTAACAAAGCACCGAATTTCAGTACAAATTAAATCAGGTTCAATTCACATTCATTGAATAACTGCATTACCAAAAGTCGGTGCCAATACGTGTTGCCCCTATACATAGTTTATTCCAACATTAATCTATAAATATCCTGACTTAGGAAATAAAAAAAGTACTTAAAAACCCACCTCCCCAATAATATTATAATAATTACTGTCAAAGACAGACAAATTTCAAGATTTGGCAGAGAACTCTTTGCATTGTAGGAAGTAGAAAAGGATGTATCTGTTGTGGTCCAATTTATCTTATATAGACATTAAATAACGAATAAATCAATGAGCATACTAATTGTCAACTTGTTCTATTATCCATGTGTCGGGACGAGAATTTCTTGGTGTTGTAATTATTAGGGGGACTTTTTTGGCTTTTATATTAGGAAGAATAAAATAAAAAATTATAATAATAAGAGCCTCCAATATCCTTATTCTTATACATTATGAAAATGATGCATGCATGGATGTTGAGGGACCGAAAAACCCGGGCATGCATGTGCTCGTAACATGGTAGGCCCTCGTAATCCTTTTCAATTCGAGCTCTCCCTTTTCATTTATTCATTGCAATAAACAATCTCAAACAATAATATAACATCAGCAATTAAAAAAGAAAGGCTGTCTTGATGTGCATTGCTTGGCTCGATGAGGATTAGGATCGATTCCTTTTCGCATAAATAATCATCGAGTAATCGTAATTAACTAGCTGATCGTCCTTCAATTAGTGAGACGATAATGGAAAGAATCTGCTGATAATTAATTACTGACGAATTGGTACGAGAAATCTCCGAGAACTCTTCTTGCGACAAAACGTTTGATGTCTCAAGAGCTTATTAGGCACGATAAATAATAGAGAGACTTTGCCGAATGGGATTTAACTTATCCCCATCTAATCCTTGTCAGGGTCGGTGATCGTGAAGCACTATTGTTTAAGCTCTTGATCAAACAAATAGCAATCAATCAATGCTTCATCATTCCAAGGATTAGGGTTCTTGATTCTCCATTTGGCACCTTGTAGACTTGCCCACGACACAAATTAATTGTAGAGTCGAACGTATTTTGTCATTAATTCCGACTTGTCACATCGACGGTTCGGTTACACAAAACGAAATGTCCCGAGCGTCAAATCCTAAGAACAAAGAAAGCGAACCGACCCCATGAATATAATCCATCACATGGTCGAATGCGTTCAATCGTACCTCAATAATTATCTACTGACTTTGCCAATGACTGAACATCTGCAAAAATATGGCAAAAGGGTAAGGCGAGGGCTTTCATAGGTCTTCCGAGAGTGCGTAAATGGATGAAAGTAGGTTGTACATACGAAAGGGATGTAGTTCGAAGGAATCTTTTTTTGTGCTATTAGGTAGCTACGCTGCATGGTTGGTGCATGGTGGTCTAGGGTTTTAGGTTGGTAGTTATTTGTGTGCGAAACCAAGCCCAAGTGCCCACATGCGACTTCTTGTCCGCACACCGACAGAAACATTAAATTAACAGACACCCATCCCAACAGTTCAACACGATAACCGGGGAATAAAACAAAAGACGCCCAACAGATGTCTTGAACTTAAGAACTGATCTCATGGCGGTTTCCATAGAACTCCCCTCTAATGGCTTGAGTTCTTTAAGTCAATGAATAATTTGCCAATTCTACAGTAATCAGACAGAGCACTCTACAATGAGCATGTCTTGAAAATGCCATGGATGGAGAATGCATGATGTGCACGTTTCGATTGGATGCAAAGCTTCGATCGAGCGGTACGAAAATCTACTCATTTTATAAAACGTTCTCCAAGTTTTATTTTCCGTAATGTTATGCCACATGTCACTGAGACAGAGACACGTAGTATAATAGACGGGCGATGTACTTTTTTCTGTTTATTTATTTGAATCATTTATCACGATGCCTTAATTTCACATTTTTCTTATCATGAATGTCATCTAAGTTCATCTTGATTCGCGCAATTTCGGGAGAATATTTAGTACATCCTAATATATTGCCATCACCCACACGGATGGAGCAAATAAACAAAAAGAGAGCATTGTTTGCATGCAAATTATATACTCAAAAATAGAAGTAAAATAAAATAATAATAAAAAAAGGAAGAAGAAAAAGGCAAGAAGATGTTGAGGAAGGGCATGTGCAGGTGGGGTCTTTAGGCTTAGCAGTTGGTAGCCCAAATTGGAACAAATGCATGTGCACTTAATTTCTGATATCTTCTTGCAAAGAAAAATAAATTTAGGCCTAAAAGAAATTGATTCTTTGGTTGTGGCTCTCAACCTTCTTTCAAATCCTTGTCTCTTTCTTCTACAATCCCTACGCCCTCAAAGTCTATACAATCTTTGTTATCTATATAAGTGAACCTTCCATCTCCCATTCTGCACCAAGCACCAAACACTAACCAGCAAACACTTTCAATTCACCTCCTCCTTCAATCTCTGTCTTTCTTCTGCTATATTTTTTAGCAAAGCCAAGCCACATTAGAAAAAAGAAGCAAGAATGGCTAATGTTGCAGCAATCTCAGCTGTTGCCCTTGTGTTCCTGTGTCTCAAAAGTGCTTTTGGGGACTATGGAGGCTGGGAAGGCGGTCATGCCACATTTTATGGGGGTGGTGATGCATCTGGCACAATGGGTAAGTCCAAAATATGATCAATAGTGTTTGCTGAAGAGACAATATGTTTACCTCTTGAAAGACTAGACTATTTCTATTCCTTTTGTCAAAATGTCCATTGGCTAAGTAAAGTAACTAACTTTTACAACATAATGCGAAAAGCAATTCAATAGACTGACCTTTACTTCTTGAAAGAGTAAGACGTGTCTTTAATGTCTAATGTGACTAGCAAAAAGTGCAACCTTTTTTCCCATCAAAAGCAGTATAATTTAGGCCTTGAAACTTTAATTTCAACCCATGTACCTTATAGTCATGTTGAGACTATAAAGATAGTCAGTTTCTATGTGCCTGATCTCATATAAATGGTTCAAAATTTTCAGGAGGTGCTTGTGGGTATGGCAACCTGTACAGCCAAGGCTATGGCACCAACACTGCAGCTTTGAGCACTGCCCTGTTCAACAACGGCCTGAGCTGCGGGTCATGCTACGAGATGCGGTGCAATGACGACCCCAGGTGGTGCCTCCCAGGGTCCATCATGGTCACGGCAACCAACTTTTGCCCTCCCAACTTCGCCCTCTCTAATGACAATGGTGGCTGGTGCAACCCCCCTCTCCAACACTTTGATCTGGCTGAGCCGGCTTTCTTGCAGATTGCCCAGTACAGAGCTGGGATTGTCCCAGTTTCCTTCAAAAGGTAACAACAGCATTTTCACTGCAAATCTTTAGTTATTTGTCGCCAACTGGGCTCTCGAGTTTCAAAATTAAAGTCCACAAAAACTCCACTATGTGATGAAATCGACTCACGGGTCATTCTTGATCCTGACAGGGTTCCCTGTGTGAAGAAAGGAGGAATAAGGTTCACCATCAACGGGCACTCCTACTTCAACTTGGTGCTGATCACAAATGTGGCAGGCGCTGGTGATGTCCACGCTGTGTCCGTCAAGGGCTCAAAGACTGGTTGGCAATCCATGTCAAGGAACTGGGGACAGAACTGGCAGAGCAACGCCTACATGAACGGCCAGTCTCTCTCCTTCCAAGTGACCACGAGCGATGGGAGGACATTGACCAGCTACAATGTCGTGCCGGCTAATTGGCAGTTTGGACAGACATTCGAAGGGTCTCAATTCTAAGGATTTCCAGAGGTCTTCGAGGTGGGATTTAGTAAGTAATTGATGAATTTGTATATGGCTTATAGTGCCAATGTGTGCCTATGTATTCAAGAAAGAGAGGGAGAGACGAAGTGGGCAAAGAAAAAAGAAGAGGGTAGGAGAAGGTAGGAGCCCAACTGGGGTTGTTCCTATTGCAGAGGTGGCTTTTTGGCACCCGCTAGGTAACTAAGAATTTATGTATTTAGACTATGCTGAGCCATGTAGTATGGCAAAAAAGGAAAAGGGGGATACCTCCATTGTTTGCCACAAATTTATAAAGGCCAGGATTGTTATTGAGGATATTGTTACCCTCCATTTGAGTACTCGTGTCAAGCCCATTTGATCTTTAATTTAGATTGTGCTTTGGTACTCTCGCTAGAGGAAAATCATTGACACACAACTAAGGAACGCACACAATGTGTGTCGTCAATCATCATGATTCCGATAATACAGGTCTAAAATGAAATGTTGTCCTAATCGGGTATATAAATTCTAATAACACGGTGCAGAATGAGTAAGTATGCGAGAGACATTGATGGGCTTTGATGGATTAGAAAATGCTAGACCTTTGATGAGATGGCATAGAGTCTATTAAATAATAGTATGTAACTCTGCCCCATTGCATCGATTTCCTAAGGTTAATGGTAACTGAGATGACTAGTAATCAATTGGGCCAAGATCTTCTTCAACCCTTAGAGATCCAAACCAAGTTCTACTGGAAATGGAAGTTATAGTACTATGAGTGCGATGCCCTTTGACGTTTTCTCTTTTTTTTTGTCTGTCTTACTCTACCTCTTAACTCACTCTCAGACTCTATCCTATTCTACCTCTTAACTCACTCTCAGACTTTTGTTCTGCCTCTTGCAGGGCATGAGAGTCAAAACCCATATCTGAAACTACACATCCTCACCCCATATCTGAAACTACACATCCCCACCTCTTGGATGGCGTGAGAGTTGAAACCCACATCTGAAATTAAACGTCTCCACCCTAGCTCCCTCCCCCTAAGAATGTGGGGAATCGAACTCCCCATCTCCCCCTTCTCAAGTAGGAAGGGTTGCCATTTGGACAAATCACTAGGGTTTGCCCTTTGACGTTGGAGTTGCTATGTTTATGTTCGTGCAATTAACGAACACTCATTCATTCTTTTACTAATCTCGGTGTCTTTTCTTCACATAGATATTCTTTATGACATGTTTGATATTTATTTGACTCACAAACAATAAATAAAGAGCTGTACGAAAAATAAAATTTTGAAAGTAAAAGGAGATGGAAAGCCAAAACCGATAGTCATTGTTGAAAAAGAAAGTAGCGTGTCATGCTTATGAATATGTCGAAAAACGTTCCGTATACAGTGATGAATGTTATCAAATGAGTCGAGACAATGATGCAAAATACATATAGATCTTTGCAACGTCGATTAAGTATCAATTTATCTTAGCAATCAAGATCATTCGACGACAAGTTACTGGAGAAAATCTTTCGTTGGGAAATCAAAATCTTAGCAAATGATGTACTACGAGGTTTCGTTGAATATATTCCTCGACACGTAGCTAGAAAATCTAGAAAAACCTTAAAGCATCGAACTTTTCTTGCTCCGCTAGCCAATACAAATGAGGAGCAACAGTCTCTGTAGAGCGACATTTGGAGCTCCATTTCTCAGACCCACCACCACGACAAGAGCGTCCGCCTGCTCCTCTCCCTGCTCAAATCCGATCAGGCTTCACCATCATCAAAAACCCATCTTTCTTCAAACCCTGAATTTGTCTCGCTTCGCTGCTGCGAGAGCCGAGTTCGCGAGGATGTCGAGTCAAGGAAGCTATGCGGAGGCTCAGAAATTGATCAGTTTCTCTCTCTCACCGACCTCCGCTCTCGTCATCCAGAAGGGGGACATCACCAAGTGGTCCGTCGATGGCTCTTCCGATGCCATTGTCAGTGTTCTCTCTCTCTCGGTTTGATCTTTTCTTTTGTTTTTTGGTTAAACCATGTGGGTGTTTGTTATTTGTTCTGGTTTCATCGTTTGGGTGATTCTTGAGTTTGTAGTTTGACTTCTGGAGAGTTAGGTTCGCATAGACTGTATGAAACTTATTCGGCTTGATTGAAGTATCGAGTCTTTTGGGCTTCATACAGAATCGAGGCTTTGAAGGAATTTAAGCCTTCGAGTTGCATAAGTTGATTTCATGATGCGTCGTGTTGACTTCAGTCTCGGGAAAGTCTGTCCTGTCCGGACTGTGCCTAACTCTTCATTGTGAAGTTTTAAACAAAGCTGATGTGAGCACAATGGATCGAATGAGTCCCCGACGTTATACGATGATGGATCTCTTGGAAATTATGTTGAGGAGTGAGTTGATGTTGAAGGGTGGATGTTTTTCTGCAGGTTAATCCGGCAAATGAGCGAATGCTTGGAGGCGGTGGTGCAGATGGAGGTTATCTCTCTTTTAACTTGGCTAACTTGTGTATCATTGGTTTTACATTGAACTATATGATTTCCTGTTTTTTTAAATGATTTTTTCCGGTTAGCCATACATAGAGCTGCCGGACCAGAACTCCTAGAAGCTTGTTATAAGGTCCCCGAAGTACGTCCAGGGATCCGCTGCCCCACAGGAGAAGCAAGAATTACTGCGTAAGCTTTTCCTGCATAATCTGCATACTGTAGTTTCGGCAGAACAATAACCTATCGCTCGTCAATTATTAATAAGTCAAATTAATGAGGTCTGTCGTACTTTATCTGTCATACTTTATCTGTTTGTTGTCTGATTATCCAACACTTTTCAAACAGAGGCTTTAGGTTGCCAGCATCCCATGTGATCCACACAGTTGGCCCAATCTATGATGCCGATAGTAATCCCCAAGCATCCCTGAGGAATGCTTACAGGTATCTTGCAGGGAATTTCTATTCATTCAGTTCTTTGCCCCATTTCTGATAGAGTGCTAATCATTTTGCACGTGTTATTACAGGAACAGCTTGATGGTGGCCAAAGAAAAGAAGCTTCAGCACGTTGCATTTCCTGCTATATCCTGCGGAGTTTATGGGTAAGTTGGCAATTATAATAAACTTCAACTTCTTAAGTTCACAATGGTTGCATCTATGTGGTCGCCAGTGAAAATATATTGATTAATCTTCTTTAGGTGCTTAACTTTGATCCAAAGTTTTAGCTATATGTTTCACGTGTTAAAAATTAGAATGCGTATGAGACTTTATGGCAAAAAAGAGGAATGCTTGTATTTCTTTCTTGTGTATGTGTGCGTCTTTATGTGTGAGTGTTGAGTTAGTGAGAAACAGAAAATGCCTGACCAATCGCTTGTGTTTTCTAATCTATTACTACTTCTGATCTTATTTTTCCAGATATCCATACGATGAGGCTGCCACAATAGCTATCTCTACGCTTAAAGAATCCTCTGATGGCTTGAAAGAGGTAGGTTTTAATCTATTACTCAGCCCATCAACTTCCTAGTTGAATGGAGGTCCTTACCATATCTTACTGATTTCAAAATGCAAAGTAGCACTCGGCAGTGCTTCTTTACTAGTCCCCTGTGAGATATCGTCAGTTGCACTTTTAAAAAATGTTCAACCAGCATTTTGGATAGTTATTGTATAGTATAGAGCAGTCTATTCCTTTCTCAGCCTTTTGTCTAAGATCAGGTTAGTGCAATCTTTCTGGCTTCATGCAATAATACTTACCCTTGCGGTAGTCAGTAAACTCCACAACAATCATGGAAGAGACTGACCGTTTCTTTTGCAGGTACATTTTGTTCTCTTTTCAGATGATATTTACAATGCTTGGTTGAGCAAGGCAAAGGAATTGCTTCAGCAGTAGATATTCACCAGCTGTGGTGCTGTTGTCTCTAATCTACTGAACGAGACAAATGCGAAATGCCGATATTATCATAATAAGAACGATTAAGCTGGTGATAACGGTGAACTTGTGAACGAAACTTTTTTCTGTTTCTTGGCTGGCCGAACGGTCACTTCTTCGACTAGTCCAGATTGTTATGCTGTGGCCTTTGCATAAGATGGATGAGATAAATTGTGGTATGTTCCGTACAGTTGAATTTTTCTCTATCACGTGAAAGAACTGACATTAAAGCCTATTCGACGATATCTTTGCGGCTCTGATATTGTTGTTTTCCTATTTGGTAATGAAAAGAATTGGATACGCAGTGGGCAACCTACATAAAGACCGCCTCTGTTCCTACATTCTGCACCCAGCGAAGGTGCTCATTGTTGAAAGTTGCCAGTTATGATTACCAAACCAGTGGTTACTTAATATATCACTGAATGGAGTAGGAGAGATTATATTTGTGAAAAGAAACCTAAAAGCATCCTTTTCTTGTCTGGAGCTCTTTGAGTGGGTGTTCGAAGAGGCGAGAAAGACATCAATGGGGGGACTGTTGGGTAAACTTCGCTTGTTCTCCTATAAAGAAGAACATAGCAACCTTGAGAGCTGGGAGTGATCATATTCCTCTCACATATTTACTCCTCCAGCATCAGTTCCTTGATCTCATTTTTACTTTACCTTGATTACTTATATATTAAATCGGTTGTGCTTAATTATCCAGTTTCGTAATATCCAACGAAGTTTTCCGACCCATCTCCCTTAACGATGAGAAACCAGAAAAGATTTTGCGCCTTGGAATTTCGATCATCTGACCTTGCAATACTTATAACTAAAAATGGCCACCGATCGAAGCATTTATCACCAACAATAGAGGACTCGTGTGGAAACATTCATTCACCAAAGAGCAAGAGGACTGCGTGTAAACATGTTGGAATGATGAAATCATCAAGTACAAACAATTGGTCGGTCACTTGTGAAGTCGATGAACGGTATTTCTAAGTTCAGACAAGCGGTTGACACTGCTGCTTCTGCTGCTATCCGATCGCATTCTTATAGGACAAGGAAAAACCGAGGTTAATGAAATGAAGTCCCAGGGAACAGCCAGAGGCATCTTCGTGGCAAACAACATTGACGTGACATTTTGCTCCCCGTTGAAATGATGGAGCCTTAATCCGCAAAACACCACCTAAATTTTGAAGTAAGCTCTTGGCATGGATGGCTTGGCAGATGTTTGGACTCAACTTCAGCTTCACATATTTTTGTCCTTGGATAAACTTCTTGGGAGCTTGCTGATAAAACTCTCATCTACTACTTTGTAATGCCTCGAAAAGTTTCTATGGAGCATTCCACAAAACCTATCCACATGTTTCTCATACCTGCTGTACAGCGCAGGAACTGTGACGGATATTATAGTACCTATCACCAATTTAAGCAAAACACCGGAAATAAGCCAATCTGTTGGATAAATAAAAAATCAGATTATGCAAGTCATACAGAGGTCGTGTGTCCAAGAAAGTAGACAGACTGCATGGGAACATATGATATGAGAAACATTGATACGGATTATGGATTTGTAAGGACAATGATAATGAACTGGGTGAAATTCAAGACGCCGTAGGCAAGAGTCTATGGAGGGCAGAACCCTTGAAACCTCATTCACCCCTAATGCAAGTCACGAGCTAGTTCCACAAAATAAAGTACAGTTCCAGGGGAACCAGGGAAAACACAAATTTGATCAAAATGTATCAACAAACGAGGACCAAAGCAAAAATGGAATTGGCACATGACAGACTATGACTGCTCATATCCTGCACTCAATCAGAGGAATAGGCATACCTATATAAGCGAGTGTGAAGAAAGAGAAGAAGCTACCAATTGCTGATATAAGCCACAGACAGACAACCACCTGTCAAGTAAACTAAAGGTCAGTGAGAGGACTATAACTGGATAGGCACACGATGCAGCAGAGAAAAGAATGTATAGTGGTTTGGATTGACCTATGAGACCTGATAACAGAGTGGCAACATAAAATGGAAGGAAAGGGAAACTAACTGTACAAGAACTTCTACTATGGAAATTCGATTAGTTTATAGCAACTTCCTTATCTTATGTGTCCAATTCGCGATGCATTAATTTTGCTACAATTGATGCCTCATTAATATCAAACATGCGGTTCCCTTCACTCGACCATCAATAGGATTGGCTAAGGCATTTATAACATAACCCAAATAAGCCTCACTCACCAGTATATGAGCAATTCTTCTTATTGCTTATCCAGAACTTCGCTCTTGTATCATCAAACTGTCATTCATTGTTGTACCCACATAATTTAATTCCAGAGCAATCACTATTGTGCCCTCTTCAAATTCTACTATTTCACCCGCTGTTACTTCATCAAAACCATAACTACAATCAATGTCATCGCTCACTTGCGTTATGATACCGATATTTACAATCTCTACTTCTCTATTATATTGCTCAACACGTTCACGGACAATACTACTAATTTTGTCCACTCTAATAATTACCATGAGTATTTTTCAATTCTTTTTTGTAGGGAAAAAAAAATTCCCACAGTAGAAGGACTAATGAGTTATTTTTTTCATCACCCCTAACATCCATAAGTTCACATACATCAGCTCAGTATACCTGAAAAAATAGTCTAAAATCTTTTCCAAGAGTGATGTCGTGAGCCATAAGCAGCAGGCTATTGATTTTGACCCGAAAAGAAGCTGCAACATTGGTAACCATCTCCTCTGAGAAAACTAGCTCAGATAATTCTGGTAGCGGTCTGCTTGGAAATGAAAAAGTAATTAACAATAATGGTTTCAGTGTAACCATTAAAAGGAGAGTATGATGTTCATACCTATTCCGTAAAACAGCATAATTGGCATGAATGAACAGTGATATGATTAGTAGCAGAAAGACATCTGAACAAATTGACAGGAATGACAATCCTGATCTTTCAAAGATAACCCAAGCAACTGTCGCAACAACAATGATGCCGAAAGAAACATGCCGCCGCCTCCACAATAGAACATCAGCAGCTGAGGGAGCAGAAGAATTTAAGTCTTCAGTAAAACTGTACCATGAAAAATGAGCATGCAGAAAAAGATAATGCTTTACCGGGTTCAATAAAGTTACGGTAAAGTATCTTAATTTGCCAAAATCATACACTTCTTTTGACAACAAATCACTGATCAAACAGGGAAACGACATGCTTCATGACAAATTAAACTTCCTCAGGAAGGAGTCACAAGCATCTTATAACCAAGCCACCTAGAATTTTCCAACAGAAGATGGAATTCACGCACGAATCCAGTAATCAAAGGGTGAAACAGGTTCTAGATCGAGGAACAGAAATCTTTTGTTTAAAAAAAAGGGTATAGCTATATAGAGTCTACAGATCTCCAAACCCAATAGCTATATGACTTCACCATTCCCCCATTTTGGACCTACTATCTGGCTTGTACAATTTAGAATAAGAAAAAAGCGAAGAGGAAGAAAGAACTGCTTAAAACTAGCCATTTGACCGAACTTTCGGCAGAAGAGCCGACAGGAAAGGCGATAACCCAACTAATGGATAAGAATCAAGTTCCTTCCGTGCAAAGACCGCTTCATCGACATGCATCAAACAATTGACCAAATGAGCAAGACAATAAGAGCATATGCAAGCGCAGAAACCACCTTCGAAAACAACGAGAATGACCGTGTACTGTAATGGGTAGATAGCAGCATATCCAAATAGAAACCACTTTCCCTAGCGCACTACTAATTTACCATATACCCTTTCCTCGACAATTATGAACAACGATCCGAAGTAGGAAACAAGCGTACAGAAAGCAAGAAGAAGAAGCTCAACGAACGTATACCTATTCCACCGCCCATACATTGGTGGATGGTGGATTGCCGACCGAACAATCGGTAATCTGAGCTGGCCGGAGTCAACGACGACGACGCCGACGACGCCGCCGACGCTTCCTCCCGGTCGCAAACATCCGCCGAATTCTCCATCGATCAACACCCTGCCGCATCCACAGCACCCCCAAACCGCAGGCGATTAGCATCCGAGCACCGCACCGGCCCAACCAGAGCTCCCGCACCCCGAATCGGCACGGAAAGGTCAAAGATCAACGGAAGAGAGAGGTGAACGAAGGAAGGAAGGAACGAACCTCGGGAGAACGCGCGCATGAAAGAGGGTGGCTCGGGATCCGGGAGCTAAAATCCGCGCGATCGATCTCCGCTCCGGCGAACCCGGAACCCCTCCCCGGCGATCGAGTCCGATCGGAGCGAAGCGTGTTCTCCGAGCAGCGATTCTTCGTCCCGGGCGAGACGACGACGACGACGACGACGACGGAGCGAGCGGTTTTTTCGTCGCGGGGGGTCGTTAGCCGGTCGCGCGACGGGATGGAGATTGGGCATGCGAGAGAGAGATCGTATGCGGCAAGGCACACACCCGTGGCCGGATTTCATTGGACAGGACGAGTGGGCCCTCGTTAGAAGTTGCTGTCATCTCTCTCCATTTGCCAGCTAAAAGCGGTCTTAATCAATTTGGGACTCATCAACTGACGTGTCACGCGGTGGATCGGGTCGGGTTTAAATCGGGTCGGATTATTTTCGACCCAAATAAACCTTTTCATGCAAATAAATTTAATGACTTATATACGACTTGATTAGTGTTGCTAAAACATTTTCATATTTAATCAAAGCGAGAGTGCGGAGTGAGCGATCACAAGAGAAAATGAAGAGAGAGTCATAGCTGTCACTCACATTAGTTCGGAGTTTATCATTCTAAACTAGTTTATGACTTGTTTTTTTCACTCTTTTATTTAGACGTAAATTGGTACACCTATAATAATTTTATCACAAACTAATTTTTGAATCACCAAAAACCTAAATCGGTATAGCTGTGAAAGATTTACTCCAAACTAATTTTTGAGTTACAAAAAATCCTACATTGGTACCAAGATGACATATTTACTTTCCGTTGGTCGTAAAATTGCTGAGTTGGAGACACATATAAATCTATATCAATTTGGGGTAAATTTGTCACAAATATACCGATTGGGTTTTTGGTGACCTAAAAATTAGTTTGAGATCAATCTGTCACAAATGTACAAGTTTGGAGTTTTTCGTGGTATTAACTATTTACTAAATAACTAACTCATGCATCAACTCAACCTATCAAATATGAGTTAAGAAATTTGTCAATGACAAATTTTGATAGGTCTACTCTTAAAAAAAAAAAAGACTGCATAATTTTTCGTCTTCGTTTTTATTTTTCTAAACTTTTGTGGCTTTTAAAATTCAATTTTTGTTTAATCCGAAACAACCATTTAAAAAACATTTGAATGTTGGTATGTTAAATCACGTGTAACTAATTCATAACAATAGACTTAATTGTATTTTTTTTCTTTTTTTGAAAGAAAAAATGATGCGGAAATGCATATATTTTCATGTGAAGGGTAGATCCCTATTATTCTACTAGGAAGAAATCAAATAATTTCGTTAAATGCTTTAGCACTATAATTAAAAATATTATTCAAGGTGCGTATGTCTCGCGGTAAATAAATGATTCTGAAAGTATTTTTCCTAAATATAATCACTTACTAAAAATGAATAAAATGTAAATATTTTCTCCGTTCACGAAGGTATTTTGACATAAATTGTTGTCGAGTATAGAGGAATCGGTGCTTTAATCTTATGGTTTTTTTTATTCTTTCCCACTTGTACTCTTATTGTACATTAAATCACATTGTAATGAAAATAAAGCTCCGTTTATTTCGCAGAAATGAGCGATTTAAAAAATAATCGCTTGTATCAATTGAAATACTTAGTTAACGAGAAATATTTTTATTATCGATAACAGTTTATGTTTCCAAATTTTCATGAGTGATGAAAATTATTTTTATATATTCATTTTTGTATGCGATACAGACGATAATTTTTAAGAAAATATTTTTCAAATTATTCATTTGAAAAAAAAAAAGCCTAAATCGCGCAAATCGATGTTGAAATATTTGGTATTATTCAATCGGTTGTTCTCATCCAAGCTTTGAGCACTAGCAAGTCAAAGTAAACATATCGATTAAAAAAAAAAAAAGAAGAAGAAGAATAATCCGTAGCAATATTTAAGAAGATAAATCAAAGTTCCTTTTGGTGGCGAAACGCAACACGAAGGAGCGGCGCGGCACCTGTCGCCGTCGCCGAACAGTGGCACCACCAGCGGCAGCAGTGGTTTTCCCTTCCCGAGTACCGCACCTGGAATCCCCCAATCCGCCATGGAAGCGCACCTCCCGCCTCCCTTATTTACTCCTCCTCCTCCTCCTCCTCTCTCCACACCTCGCATTCCCTCCCCGCTCCCTCCCTCTCCTCTCCCTCCCTCTTCGCCCCGCAAATCCGATCGATTCCGACCCCTCCCATGGCTCTCCGCGCCATCGTGTCCCGGAGGACCCTGGCCGCGCTCGGCTCCGGCCTCCGCGCCGAGGCTAGGCTCGCCGCCACCGTTGCCGCCGCCGCCGCGTACCGCGGCCTCGTGACGTTCTCGCTCCCCGATCTCCCCTACGACTACGGCGCTCTGGAGCCGGCCGTCAGCGCCGAGATCATGCAGCTGCACCACCAGAAGCACCACCAGACCTACGTGACGAACTACAACAAGGCCATCGAGCAGCTGGAGGAGGCCGTGGCCAAGGGCGATGCGCCGGCGGTCGTCAAGCTGCAGAGCGCCCTCAAGTTCAACGGCGGAGGTGACGATTCTCTCCGTCGATGTTCTTCGCTCGTTTCTTTTCTTCTTTTTCCAATTCCAGGTGGTTCTGCTCGGTTACGCTTACTGTCGGTAATTTGAGCTTCGTGCGTGGTGTCATATAGCTATGTTGATCGATGGGGGGCTGGGAGCTGGTGAAATGGACGAGAGGGAGAGAGATAGAGAGAGACAGAGAGCGAGAGAGTTCATTTGGCTCTGTTTGTGGAAGTTGGATACCTGAACAAAAAGGATAAAAACAATGAACTGAGTGATATGGCTCGATTATGTTGGGGTGGAGAAGAAAGGTATTTTAGGAATCTCTAAGTCTGAGTAGATAGGCAGATCTTCTCACGGTGTTCCCATTCTCACATCAAAGTGTTGAACTTTATAGTATTTTGTTTGGAACATTGTAGCTAAATGAACCATAGATATGGGGGTGCAAGCTAGTTGAGCCTGTGAGCGACAATCGTATGACGTGAAGTAGGATGAAACAATAATATGGGCATAGTCAGACCGTGCTGAGCTGTTTAGTTGAAGATGAGTTGTTTAGTAGATTGTGTAGTGCAATGGGCAAAGACTGCTGTTACTATTGAGGAGAACATACAGATCAGTGCGTGCGAGAGGGAGCCGATTGTTCTGTAATTTTTTTTATTTCCGTGGAGAAAAGATTGCAAACTGGACTTTGCATTACGCGACACCGTTTCTTCGAACCATAGCTGGGATATTACCGATTTGTAGATGTCCTTCTCAGGGTGATATACAGTTTTCCACTTGTCATCTAGACCTGAGCTGTGACTTCTGTATGCAACCTCCACAAAGCGACTGTAGTAAACCTGTTTAGTTTATATTCATCTATGGATTGTAGTTCGGGGTCGCTTTTAACTTTGACATGATAATTTTCAGGTCACGTCAACCACTCGATTTTCTGGAAAAATCTTAGTCCCATTCATGTAAGTGTATATCTTAGAATAAATTCGTTCTCAGTATTTACTATTCTTGGAGCTAATGTCTTATCCCTTGCAGGAAGGAGGTGGGGAGCCACCAAAAGGTTCGCTAGGTTGGGCCATTGACACAGATTTTGGCTCTTTAGAAGCACTTGTGCAGAAAATGAATGCAGAAGGTGCTGCTTTACAGGGCTCCGGATGGGTGGTATGGCTTTCAGTTGCACAGTTTGCACATTGTACTTGTCGATAGTTGTTAGCATGATGGTCGTCTATTAATTGAGCTCATATCCATTGATCCTATCCACATTTGTCTCGTGCAGTGGCTTGGTCTGGATAAGGAGTTCAAGAAACTCGTGGTGGAAACAACTGCAAATCAGGTCAGATTTTCACACCTACCCAGGACGTTGTCTACACAACTAATGTTCTAAATTGTTCATGGAAAACAAATAAATCTTGCCAGTGCTCCTTATTGTTCTTTTGTGTTTCTTAGTCAAAGTATGGTATCTGAATATAGGGCATGCTAGCATCATTTGAGAGGGAATGGGCAATGGTTCTCATCGGAGGTCATTGGGGCTTTAGGTATTTAAAAGTCTAGTGTGGTTTTTTTTAGGATGTCTGCGGTTTTTCAATCTATATGCCGGCAGTTTCTCCAAATTTGTCGAGGCAATGGAGGTCAAAGGTCACAGTGGCATGAGCATGACTGTATAATGTATATTGTGTCCTGATGTCCTGATCCAGGCACTCAAGTTCTTTTGGCAAATTTGTGCGCTCGAGTATTATTTCATCGAATGCTTGTAGAGCTGTGTAACGGGAAGATTAGTGGCTGGTTTTCATGGTGATTTGAACTTCTTTTCAGGATCCGCTGGTAACCAAAGGAGCCAATCTAGTTCCTTTGATTGGTATAGATGTATGGGAGCATGCATACTATCTGCAGGTAACTCTACGATATTTGGCCTTGTGGTTACTCTGCACAACATAATTGGCGGTGCTCGAGACATTTTGACTGGGCTAGATGTGTTGCTTAGAGCTATGTACTAACTCTCTTCGATGCTATGTTGATATCTTATAGTTCTTTACATAAATGAATGCATGACTCAACTTGTGTGAGTTACACGTCTTGCTCCTCCCTGAGATGACACATTATGCCCGCACATGTTCCTATCGGAAGTTGAGATGATGAATCGGTATGGCTGGTGTGTGAATCCGCCGTGTAAAGCGTTTTTCAGTCTATCAAGTGAACTTGCACGGTGGATGGTTGCACTTTGTGAGTGGTACTTATTTGCATTTCTCGAAGTCGAATGCCCAATCTTTTGCTTGGCTTAAGCAGAGAACTGCACGGATTATATTGTCGAATCGTAATCTTTACTCCGAGTCTTATCTCTGCGCATCTCTGTTTTTCTCTCTTTGTTGCAGTACAAGAATGTGAAGCCCGATTATCTGAACAACATATGGAAAGTGATTAACTGGAAATACGCCAGTGAAGTGTACGAGAAAGAATGCCCTTGAGCAACGGGAAGTCGGGCTCTCAACCATCTAATCTTTGTCGTGAAAATGAAATAAAGCTCATGAACAGCTTAGGGAAATCCAACGAGGTGTATTTAGCTACTGTTGTATCTCATATTCGCATCATGAGTGAAAGGTGCTGAAATAAATCTGAGGCTTTTTCCCCTCTTCGTTGATCTCTGTGGTTGCGAAATATGGTAAATCGTGCATTATTCAACGATACTGGGATGTTTAATATCAAATGATATCTCTAGTATCCAATAGTATTGCTAATTGTAGGGACGAGCGGTTTCAGGTTAAAGTAGGTTTCGGCTCTCAGTTTTTGGAATCTCAAATCTACCTCAGAATCGACCTTTTCGGTCCGGTCCTATTTCAGAGTCTACTCGGGATTTCTTTTCTTTCTGTGTTTCATTTTTTTAATTGATTAAAAAGAAAAATTTTACTAAAACATTTCCCTATTTTTTTGGGGGGTCGGAAAAACCTTATTTACAAGCGAGACAAATACCAAATGGTAGAGCAATAAAATGGCAGTACAGAACAAATATAAAGATAAAGCAATTGGGAAGTGTCAAATTCATCTCTTAGTCGAGCAAAATGAAAATTAAATAAAAATCTGAGGCATCTTCAGCTACGTTATCGTGGAGCGTTGAGAGTTATCCGCAGTTAAAAGAATTGAATTCTTTGAAGGAGGTGGAGATCAAACAATTCGTGTCCTGAAATATTTCCACGATGTGCCAACATTCACAAAATTGAAAACAGATTGGACGCCACAAGAACTACGGAGCACACCATCTTGTCAGGGAAGCAATTGCGATTCTCGGTATTGTAGGATAAATAAGCATCATCCAAAAAGTGCAAGAACTTTTGTTGGATGGGTGTTGAGTATGAAAAGTGCACAAGTTAAAGGTAAGTGAAAGTGACTAACCTACCCTTGTCGGGACCAATCTCAATTTTTGAAACTTCAAAGCTACCTTCTAGATCCTACAACTGGACCGGAGGGCGAGATCACCACAACTAATGGACTGTACATTACACCGTGAACAAACGCAAGATGCGATTCTCGTGCAAAGCTGAAGGACCGCGCTTTTTCCACTCCTAATTTGGCTAAAACACTCCTCAATAAACTATTTTGACCATATTATCCATTGTGGGTCCCGTCTCTCAGCATCCTCTGCATTCTCTTAGTGTCCTTTTTCTTGGAATCTTTTTTTGCCGGTCCCACTTTCATTTATCTTCACCCTTCTCTCTATCTCTTTGATGTTTGAGATGGTTTTTGCGTAGTTTTTCACGATGGGTGCTAGATAAATTGATTAAATTCGAAGTGTTGGTTAATGTTGAGTAATGTGATAATTTTCCTTGTGATGGGTTCAGATTAATAAAGTCTGAAGGTGTTTTTTCTTCTTTTTCTTCTTTGGTCTCTTTTTTTTTATGTCTAGGAAAAGTAGGTGTTGATTCATTCTTCATTTACTGTTGAATCTGATTAAAGATTAAAGATGATCATTAGCGAGGCCTTTTGGCATTGCTGCGTTTCTCTCACTCCGGGGATTCTATTAGTTGAAGTCTTTGAAATTTAATGGGGAAGGGTGGAAAGAGAAAAGTAGGTCTTTTCCAATCCTAAAGAGTTTTGCTTGCACCAAGTGAAAAAAGGTTTATCATCCCATTAACTTCTAACGATTGAACCTAGTGATTTTTTTGACCCTGTGCGGATAGAGCATGCATTTGATTTTTTGAGTGAATTTTGAGTATTCTTTTCATCGAAAATTTCCTCGAATTAGTTTCCATTGGCCTCTTTCTTTTCTTCAATTTGTTTAGTACAATGATTTGAAGATGCACATATTAGTCTAGTTGTGGTTCGGACTCAGTAAAGGATGAAAGGTTTTTATCCAATAAATTTCAATTTTGTTCTCATTTCAGTAGGTTTATTGAAACTTTTTACCATTTTATTTGCGGTTCTTGATAAAAACAAATGGGCACACCAAATGCATTTTCGCATATTAGCTAGTAAAGTCTATTGGTATCGGTGCAAAGTCTAGTTGAATCCCTGCTCTGTATTATATTGGGTTGGTTTTGAACAGAGAAGGGCTTCCATATGTTGCACAACCACCAATTAGACCAAGAAAATATCAAAGAGAGAAAGATGCTGAAAGGTGGGGATGAAGAGGAAGGAAAGTGGAACCCGCAAAAAAAACCAAAAAAAGACACGGAGAGAAAGGTTTAAGATGTTGAAAGGTGGGACCCACAATGGGTGAAATAGTCCAAACACTTTGTTGGGGAGTGTTTTAGCCAAATTAGGAGTGGAAAAAGCGTGGCCTAAGTTGAATCGGCTCTAATCGTTATAAAGCTAGTTCTAGTAAAGGTGACGTTGGTCTGTGGCTGTTGGATCGAGCCTGGATGCGATTCTCGGGTCGGATCCGCTCGATCCCGTCATGTATCGGGCTCGGTCCGGCCCGCCCGACCAATCACAACCGTCTCATGGTGGGCCCATCGAGGCCATCCCCACCGGGCCCAGTGATCGGGCCCATTACAAGGCTCCGGGCCCAACGGCCCGAACACCGAGGCTCCTCCTCCCTGAGCTCATACCGGGCCGTATAAAACCAATAGAAAACCCTAGCGAAGAGACTACGGTCACTCAATCATCACTCGTGCGCAGCTCATCGAGGGAGGTCCTCGCTCCACAGCCACCAGCAGCAGCAGCGCCGCCGCCGAGCACAGCAGCGTCAAGCATGGTGAGACCCGACACCTCCTCCCGGATCGCCCCTCCGTTTCGGCCTGGCGGTTCCGCGCCGCCCTTTTCCATTCGCGTTTCTCGATTCCGATTTGATGTCTCATCGGACGATCATCCGCTGCTGCTCTCTGTTGTTGTTGTTGTGTTTCGCAGACCTTCAAGCGCAGGAACGGCGGCCGCAACAAGCACGGCCGCGGCCACGTCAAGTTCATCCGCTGCTCCAACTGCGGCAAGTGCTGCCCCAAGGTACGTTCGCTCCTCTCCGTCCGCCATTTCCACGTTTCTCTCTCTCTCTCTCTCTCTCTCTCTCTCTCTCTCTCTCTCTCTCTCTCTCGCGTTCGGTGGCGGAGTCGATCGGAGTTCGTCGCCGTTCGGTGGAATCGTATCCTCGAGACGGTTGAAACTCATGCGGATTAGGTGTTATTGAATTGGATTGTCGTGTGTGGAAATAGGACAAGGCGATCAAGAGGTTTCTGGTGAGGAACATCGTCGAGCAAGCTGCGGTTAGGGATGTCCAGGAGGCCTGCGTCTACGAGAGTAATATATATCATGCTCTCTGTTCTTTCTTCCTTAAACTTTCGATTTAGGATTTTGTTTATGGAGATTTGAATTTTATTTTGTGGGAGCTGCGTGTGCCTAATGGGGATGGTGTTCCTTGGATGCAGCCTACACTCTTCCCAAGCTGTACGCCAAGATGCAGTACTGCGTGTCCTGCGCGATTCACTCGCACGTCGTGAGGGTTCGTTCCCGCACCGACAGGAGGAACCGTCAGCCTCCACAGCGCTTCATCAGGCGCAGGGTATGTTGATCTGACTTGTTAGGCTTAGCATCCGTTTAAGTTCTGCTCGTCTATTTCGGTGGCGGCTTGGATTCGTTGTTGATTTTGTCACCGGCGTTGATGATGAAAGTGAATGGTGGTTCTGTGGTTTTGTTAGGAATTGGCTGGTCCTGTTTATTTTAGGATCTTCTTGCTTGTGTTAGATAGATGATTCTAAGAGAAATTGACTTGTTATGCTTCTGAATGATAGTGGTGTTGATGAACTTTCAGTTTGTCCTTTTTTTCACTGGAAAACCTCGAAGATGTGTATAGCTTGTTAACTGCTAAATCTTATTTGGCATAAGCTGTCTAAGAAAACTCCGTAGAAGACAAGTGAAAAGCTATCGAGAATGCTCTATTCTCCTTTTACCACTTGAAGATAGAATGTATCTTCGACATAGAATCCCCATGAGTATGTGTGTGCTGCGTAGCACTGTTGAGTGTTGCCCTATCATTTGATAACTGATAGTCTGATTGTCTCTGTCTATATGAAAGGCTATCATTTCTTTGATGGTTGATTGCTTCACACTTTTAGCTGATGAGCTTTTGAGATTAAACGGGGAGAATAATTTCTTATGTGCACTCTGCATAGTTTGAAGTTACTTTGAAAATGAGAATCAGTCTGGCATTCTGATCGGCTGGGTGTTCTTTCTCATTTCGACTAGAATTGAGTGGGCAGCACTGGACAGGGATCCTGTGCTCCTCTGCTATTACTTGAGTAGTTTTCACACGTCTTAAAAGTTTGCTTTTCCCGCTTAATACCGCACAACTGTTTGTCATTCATTATTCTTTAAGGTTTTTGTTGTGATCGTGACTTCAGGCTTGTTTCCTATGTTTCTTTTGCAGGATGATGCGCCAAAGCCCGGACAGCCTGGTCAGGGACCTCGTGTTGGAGGTCCGCCTGCTCCTCGTACTTGAAGAGGCAAATTCATCTCATGTCTTTGAGATACTTCCTCCGGAGTTATCGGACGGATTTTGATGTTTCATAGCTGTTGGATTTTGGGGATTTATAAGCAGTGACATGTTTTCCTAGTTACGCACATGGTCATTTGATCTTTATTTGCCTGATATAGCGGATTGAAAAGCCCTAGAAGCTCTCTTTTTCCTTGCTTTGTTCAATATCTTTCGACATTCCAAGGTGCTGTAGTCCTCGTAACCGCTTAATTCATTTTGATATCTTGGTTTTTGTTGGGATGTCGCAATGGTATCCTTGTCACATTGTCCCTAATAATTGAGCCGTCGCATTTAGCAGTGTGGGAAATGCATTAGCTGTTCTGCCATGACTCTGTCCTGACCTTTGTCTTTGGGGAGTCGGTATCGCCTGAGCTTGCTGAGCTTTGCGATGGTCGAACAGGAGGCTTAATGGTCTGTGCATGCTAATGGTTTAGCCAATAGAATGCACCACCTTCATAGAGCCAGTTGCTTGGGGATCGAGATATGTTGGCATTAGGGGTGTCAGAACCAAACCGAAAAACCGAACCGAGATACGAACCGAACCGAACCGAACCGAAAATTCATGCATTTTCGGTTCAGTTCGGTTTCGGTTCGGATAATAAATAAATGAATTTGGTTAACATGATGATTTGGTTCGGTTCGGTTCAAATCGGTTCGGATTTCGGTTTTTTAATGTGGTTTTCTTCCCTTCGCGCGCGCTCTCTCTCCTCAATCTCACTGTTCATTACTGCTCACCTCTCACTGACTTTTCTCTCTCTCACTTTTTTACTTTATTCTCTCTCTTCCTCTGTCTTCGCACTCTCACTGCTCTCCTCTCTCTCTCTCTCTTTCCTGCTTTATTCTCTCTCTTCCCTCACATCATTATCATCTCCCAAAAAGTGACGAAACACATTTTTCTCTCTGGCTTCTTGAAGTTGGGCCAGGTGCCGCGCTTGAGGTGCTCGGAGGCGGTCCGTGACGGGTTGGAGGCGGAGAAGACGGCCTCGTAGAGGGAGTGCCGGAGCTTCACGGCCTTGGCGAGGCCAGTGTCGGCGTTGTGGACGAGCATGGGCTCGAGGTGCGCCCAGTACCACGCGCCCTTCCCCTTGACGGCCTTTGGCCGTAGCATGACAAGCCCCTTGTAGCGCTTGTTCACGGCCTCGGCCGTCAGCTCGTCGGCCGATGCCGACATCGAGACCGAGTCCACCCGGGCCGGCGACGGCGGCTCCGAGGTGTTTGCGATGGACGCCATTAACCAAACGGGTCGTCCGAGTCCCGGTCCTCGCTTTTTTGTTGTTAGAGCGGGTTCAGTCGCCGGAAGTTCGGTCTTCGGCGAGTGTCCATGGCCGACTCCGGTGATCTGGTGGGGTCTTTCGGTGGTGGGTCATCAATTGACCTGCTTCTTGACGGGAAGAAGAAAGAAGAAGCAGTCTCGCAGAGAAGGGAAGAGAGAGAGCGGAAGAAGAAGACGAGGAGGGGGAAGGGAAGAAGTGTGAAAAAAGATAAAATAAGAAGAAACCGAAAACCAAACCGAAACCAAACCGAACCAAACCGAACCAAATCGGTTTATCGGTTCGGTTCCAATTCGGTTCGGTTCCTATTTGGTTCGGTTCAAGGAGGCACCCTTAACGGTTCGGTTCGGTTCGGTTTTTCAAGAAAACCGAACCGAACTGAACCGTTTACACCCCTAGTTGGCATATTCTCCTGCCGTGTTTTTGTCATTCGGTTTCATAACTGTTAATTTTGTGTACTATACACGTGGTAACTTAAATCAATAGTTCTGATTGATTTGGTCCGCTAAAATGTGAGTATTGGGAAGAATTACCCGCAGCTTTACGTGCATACATCGGAGGCTTCTATTAGCAAAATTTCCGGAGACTGTTACTCTACTGCCGAGCGTTTGTTTTGGGCCAATACTAAGATGGTTTTCTGATGTTGCAAAATGTTGCCACGTTAATTCGATAGTCGGACGAGCCTAAATGGGCTGCGGTCAGGCCCATTGCGGTCCGACCTTTCGGATTCCTGGCCCAGGCCCGAACTTGTGGCCCTGATTAATGGCTTGTGCCTATGCTTTTTCACTTTTCAATTTGAAAAACAAAACCACTGGGATTTGCCGGTAGCCACATTTCCTACTTGAGAATGTGGAGGTAGGGAGTCCGAATCTCCATTTTTTCAGGGGATTAGGGATGGAAACATGTAGTTTCAAATGTGGGTTTCAACTTCAACGCCTTACAAGAGGCAGGGTAAAAGTCTGAGAGTGAGTTGAGAGTTAGAGTAAGACAGACAAAAAAAAAATAGAAAAATAAGTAAAACATGGAAAAATAAAATAGAAACTATGTTTAGGGAAAAAAAAAGAGAAATAAAAGGAAGAGTACCCCTATATAAAATTGAAATGAGGATAAAGCTTCTTTCTTTGGGCCTGTTTAGTAACGTTTTGTTTCTCTATTTTTCTATTTTTTTGTTCTCCGGAATAGAAAAAGAATAGAAATCTGTTTAGTAATGTCAGTTAGTTTTTTTATTCCCCAGACCAGAAAAGTGGTCAGAGAATAGATTTGTAACAGAAATAAGAATTAAAAAAAATATTCTTTTATGTTTTTGGAACAAAAAAAGAAACAAGAAAGAAATAAGTTCAGCTTTCTCTCTTTCATAAGATATTCTCATACTGAACCCTAAACCCCAAATCATAAACCCTAAACCTCAATACCTAAACCCTAAAACCCATAACACTAAAATCGAAAACTCGAAACCCTATACCCTAAAACCCCAAATCCCTAAAACCCTAAACCTTCTAAACCTCAAATCCTAAACCCAAACCCTAAAATCTCAATCTCAAAACACTAAACCCTAAACCCTAAAACTTCAAACCCGAAACCCTAAAACCTAATCCCTAAAATCATAATTCCAAACCTTAAATCCTAACACGTAAACCACAAAACCTCGAACCCTAAACCCTAAACTGTAAACCCTAAACCCTAAATCCTAAACCCCAATACCCAATACCCAAATCCCTAAAACCCTAAACCCAAACCCGAAACCTGAAACACTAACCCGAAACTCTAAAACCTAAACCTCAAACCCTAAACCATAAAATCCAAAATCTAAAACCCCAAACCCTAAACCTTAAAATCGAAATCCTAAAACCCTAACCCCTAACGCCAAATCCTAAAATCGTTCACCCTAAACTACAATTTCCTCCACCACCCGATATTTACTTTGTCTATAAGGAGTAATTTTCTTTATGGTTGTATTAAGGTCATCCAATTCTATATCATAATATATTATTATTATATTTCTAGTCCAATTTTATCTAAACATGAATTATTAAGTCTCCACCGATAATTTTATAATTAAATGAAAAAATTGGGAGTAAAAATTTTTAGTGTCCTACCAAAAGCATTTTTGTTCTTTTTCTACTCTGGGAATAGAAATTTTGTACAATTTCTAAACGTGTTTTTTTGTCCAGAAACTCGTCCACGGAATAGAAATAGAAAAAACTATTTTTGAACAGAAATTGTTTCTGGGAATAGAAACGTTACTGGACAAACCCTTTGCCAGAAAATGAGGATAAAGCTTCGCTAAATTGGAAACTGCGCATTTATAAGGAAAATTTCAAAAATTCAGTTGTCGTAAAGATGGATTATTTTAGTCAACCAAGGTGTCGCTGCACACTTGGCTCGGCATATTAGACAGATGGCACCGAGCTTCCAAAAAAGGCAAAAATGCTATAAATGCTTTTAAAATTTGGTCAAAAAATGGAAAAGAGATATATGTGTGCAATACCTCAAAAGCCACGCTATTTTCCGTTTCAAACAAGAAAGTCATTAAGAAGGGTTCATTTAGATCATTTTGAAAGTCCAAAACTCAAGTCTATTTTGACCAAGAAAAATCAAACTGACTTTGTTTATGATGCTTGGTGCTTTAATATCGCCTAGGTGGAAAATATGTGGATTTTCTTTCTATGGATAAAAATATACCTTTTGAGTTTTGCGTAACAAGTCAAAATTGAATGGATAAAAACTATAAATCGGATCCCTTTATTATATTAGATTGAGTCAAAAGAATCCTTCCAATCGATGATATCCGGCTGTGGTTTGGATGGAAATTATCTCATCTTTCCATCCAATGTTCAATCATCCGATTTGCAATTGAAAAATAGGATCACTATCTTGTGACGAAACTCGCTTAAGGTGTTTCATCCAATATATATATTTATATATATATTTTTTGGCATTGGCTAGGAAAATCGCTTGACTAGTGAATACATGATGTGATATAAGATGATATGAACTAATCTAAGACTCCGTTTGTTTCGTGGGAGATGAATAATTTGGAAAATATTTGACAAAAAGTGAAAATGTTTATGGCTAGGTTTAAAACTGAATTGCCATAGGTTTATGGCTTTTTGGATAATTTTCTCCTTTTTTGGGGTAGGGGTCAAATCATAGGACGAATTGGTGAGTTTAGTATGCGTAATTGGTTAGTTGTTATATACATACATGACCTGGGCGGATGATTTCACTCATTTTAAGAAGAAACATTTTGTTTTTCCATGGCCAAATATACCTGGAGATTGCACTGTTGCAAAAGATTTACTGATGAGGAATAGTCGATTTGCAATTGCAATCTGCGCTATTAAATCGGGAAGGCATCTACATTGGGTTTCATTTGTATCGTTGTCATTGCATTGGCACTAGGACGGACGCAATTGGTAGGATTTAATCAGGCGCGGAGTCGCATTGGTGTGTCATGTCACCACATTAAAGGACTTCCCTCGTGTCACTGATCCATCATGCGTGAAAACAAAGTGGGGGTTGATTTTGGCGAGTTGAATTTGCCAAAGGAAGTCAGTTGAAGACGGGGGGGTGAATGGCGGACTCGTTGTCCAGGTGAGCCCTGCAGGAATGAAAACTATAGAAGATTTTATCAATTTGTGAACTCAAGACAAGCATGAAGATGACATCTGGCGCGTGCTGATATAGACAAATGGCATTGGAAGTATGGCGTTCTGGCTCTCTCGACCTGGAAAAATTGAGATTTTGGGTCGAGTTTTTCCTTCTCTGAGAAGATGCAGTTGCGTACTAACCTTGATAAGAGCTGTTGGTAAGCACTACTAGAGTTAGGGGGTGTTTCAAATTCTTTAAAAACTTACCAATCTGGAACTCTGGTTTGAATCAAATGGGTTCTGGGCGCTGCAGTTATCTTGTGAACCATACATGTGGCTGGTTTCACAAATCCATGGTTTTGATTAACTCGGTCAACTGAATGTGGGTGTTGGGAAGAATTTCCCTCTCAGAGAGAGCTTAACTTTACATGCGTACATAGAGGCTTCCATAGGCAAAGTTTCCCATGACTGTTACTCTACCGCTGAGTGTATGTCTTAGTGTTTCACGGGCACAAGGAGATCCTTAAAAGGCTCAATCTCCTAATTCGGGAATGTAAAATCCTAATGGGATATTTCCTCCCCCTAGGAAAAAGAAAGATCCAGGGTTGTTCGGCCGCCGGCGCGTTAAACAATGCGCGTGCACTGCAGATTAGTTCCTAGTAGGGTTGGTCTGTAGCGTCCCTGAGTAACAATGATCTATGAGGTTTAAGTAACCACGACAACCGTGGAGGGAATATACCACGGATCCTTGCAAAATGTTGCCACGTGGATTCGATAGCTGGACGAGCTCCGATGGGCTATTGCCAGGCTCGCTGCCGCCCCCCCGACCTTTCGGATTCCTTGCCCAAGCCCGAACTTGTGGGCCTGGTCAAGGGCTCGTGCCTATGCCTTTTCACTTTTCAACTAGAAAAACAAATGAAAAATGGAAAAATAAATAGAAACCATGTCTAGGGGGGAAAAAAAGAAAGAGAAATAAAAGGAAAAGTACCCTTGTATAGAATTGAAATGAGGATAAAGCTTCTTATTTTTATTTTTTATTTTTGGTCAGAAAACGAGGGTAAAGCTTGACTAAATTGGAAACTAACGCATTTATATAGGAAATTTCAAAAATTAGGTTGTCGCAAAGGTGAATTGTTTTGGTCAACCAAGGTGTTGCTGCACACTTGGCTTGACAATGTTATACAGATGGCACAGAGCTTGCAAGAAGGACCAAAAATTGCAATGAATGCCATAAAACTCGCCCAAAAAATGGAAAAAAAAAGAGAGAGGAGATGTATGTGTATTGTGATACCTCAAAAGCCACGCTGTCTTCCGTTTCAAACAAGAAAGCCATTATTAAGAAGGGGGTTTCATTTGGATCATTTTGAAAGTCGAAAACCCTAATCAAATTTGACCGGCAAAAATCAAACTGACTTCGTTTTACGATGCTCGTAGCTTTATCATCACTCAGGTGAAAGATATGTGGATTTATTTTTAGAATTAATATCACGAAACAAATTTACCTCGAACTAATTTTTTTATCACAAAAAACCCCAGACCATTACACCTGCGACAAATTTACCCAAAACTAATTTTTTGACAGCCAAAAACTCCCAAATTGACACATGTGTACAAATTTACCATCTATTAGTTTTCGTTAAATTGGATTAATATCACGAAAAATAACAAATTGGTAAACCCGTAACAAACGGAGAGGTAAAACCCTAAACTGGTACACCCGTCAACTGTCACGTGTTATCCGGCTCAGCAATTTGACGGTTAAATTTAACGGAAGGTAAATTTATCACAGGTGTATCAATTTTGGATTTTCCGGGGTATTAACACTTATTTTTTTGAATAAGCCAAGCTAAACCTACCTTTTCAGTTTGACATAACAAATCAAAATTGAAATGGATGAAAAATATAAATGCGGATCTCTTTTTATAATAGATTGAGTCAAAAGTATCCTTCCAATTGATGATATCCGACTCTTTTGATGGTTTGGATGGAAATTATCTCATCCGGTATTCAATCACCTGATTTGCAATTGAACAATAGTATCACTATCTCACGATGAAACATGAAACTCGCTTGAGTTATACTCGAGTAGTGGATTTCGATTCATCTATTTGGTATTGGCTAGGAAAATAGCTTCACCGGTGAATATATGACGTGATATAAGATGATATGAATCAATTTAAGGCTTCTCGTTTTCTGGAATGATTTAGAAAATATATATTTTTATAATGGACTTTTATATCACTTACAAAAATAAACGAATGAAATTTGTCGGATGTCTGACGCACTAGAAAATGGATGTCCCTTTACAATAGAAGTGAAATTTATAATGCTTAACACACCATCTAATTGACATCTCGACCCACAAGAAAATGGACATTGGACAAGTCGAATTGAATGATATTTTATGTCGTCATGTTCTTGGTTACGACAAAACGTTGCATAAACAATTGTAATAAAAAAAATCAACGTTAAGGCTTAAGATTTTGGTTATGACGGTGCGTCGTAGTTAAATATTCAAAATTTACTATATATTATTCTTGGTTATAATGGATCGTAATAAATTTTCGCAAAGTGTCGTACTTGGAAAAAATACAACATTTTGTTATTATTTATGATGGACTATTGTGGATCTTTTGTAAATCGTTATAATTGAAAAATTCAAAATTTACGACGTTTTGCTATCTCTTATGATAAAAGATCATAATTCCTTATAAATCATTAGCTAAAGAGGAGTAAACTGATGTCGGAATATTTGTCTATCTCTGAAAAGGGCGCTATACCTAGATGATCAGTAGAATCTTTCGTTATCTCTAATCCTACGATCATCGATTCACTTACCCTTTGCCTTCTCCGAACTCTCTTCCCCGATATTTTAGCAATTACAGTAAAATTTAAAAGTATCCAAATTGAGGATGTTTTTACGTATGATTACAATGAAACATCGTAACTCTTTTATAAAATATCATAAAAATATTCAAATTTACATCGTTCTACTCTTGGTTGCGACAGACCGTCGTGACATAAAAAATCCGACATTTGTGATTTTTTGCTACTAGATCTTGAAACATATGTAGAATGTCGTGATTTTGGAAAAATAAAAAAAACACTAAACTTCACAATGCTTTGCTCCATAGAAATAAAAACATTCGAGATCAATTTTCTCCATAACAATTTCGAATAATAATTAGAGACCTAGAAGTTTGTATATGTTATGAAAGATGAGAATTTGTATTTTCAGGATGATAAATTATCAAACTTTTGATTTTAGAAATAAAACTATTGGGTCAGCAATCACTTGGAATGAAAAAGTAAAATTGCATGAATTTATTTATTTTTAGTAATTATGAAGAGCAGGAATATCACTATTGTAAAAGATGATGGGATTTTAAAATTTAATGTTATTCAATCAGCTTGACAAAACGAAGGACCAACCTGTAGCCGGCGAAACGTCGGAGGAAGGCGAATCGCCGGCGAAGTTCTTCCTCCATTTCCACCTTCGTTCCGGCGGCTTCCAATCGATGGATCCCATCGCGAGATTTGGAGCTCCGGTTATGGAAACCCTAGCTCGCTCCTCGCATTTGCATGGCGCCATACAAGGAAACAAATCCGGCACTCCGGGAAACTATGATACCGCTCTTGAAAGGTGAAATTTTTTTCTTCTTTTTTTTTTGTTGTGTCTTGCTTCGTTCCTAATCGAACCGGCAGCGAATGTTGGACCTATTTGAGTGTCTCTGGGTCGGAATCGTAGCAACGAGTTGGTGAGTTTCGTTTGCGTGATTGGTTAATTGTGGCGTACATGAACTTGGGTCGGTGATTTCGCTCGTTACGTGTGTTGTTAAGAAGCGATATTTGAGATTGCACTGTTGCGAAAGATTTATTGATGAGGAATAGTCGAGTTGGGATTGCGATTTGCGCCGGTGAAGCGATCTACATCGGGTTTTATTTGTCTTGCTCTCTTTGCATTTGCACTAGGATGGATGCAGTTGGTCGGATTAATCAGGTGTGAGCTGCATTGGTGGAGGTGATTTTTTTGGGTGAGTGACATTAAAGGACTTCCTCGTGTCACGATCCATCGTGCGTGAAAACAAAGTGGGGGGTGATTTCTGTGAGTTGAATTTGCCACAGGAAGTCAGTTGAAGACGGGAGAATGGCGGACTCGTTGTCCAGGTGAGCCCTAAAGCAATGACAATTGTTGAAGATTTTATCACTTTGTGAACTCAAGACAAGCACGAAGATGACATCTGGCGCATTCTAGTAAGGACAAATGGCATTGGAAGTGCAGCATTCTGGCTCTCTCGACCTGGAAAATGAGATTGGGTCGAGTTTTCTTCTGCGAGAAGATGAAATTGCATACTAACCTTGATAAGAGCTGTTAGTAAGCACTTCTAGAGCTAGAGGGTGTTTCAAATTGTTTTACGTACTTACCAGTCTAAAACTCTGGTTTGAATCAAATGGGTTAGGCGCTTCAGTTATTTTCAGCAAAAAGCTCATAGTAACTGCCTAAGTTTCAGCTTGCTTTATGTTATATGGTGTCAGTGACAGCTCAAAATGCAATTATTATATGTTTTTCTCTTTCATACTTCCTGTAATCTGTGCTTGGTTCTAGGGAGGTTAAAATAGTCTCAACTAATCTCAAGGTTTTCTATTATATGCATTGTGCATGTTGAGTCTGGTAGTATCTAGGCCTCTTATATGGTAAATACACTGAGTGTCATGTGTAGGTGAAAAAGGTTATTAGTAGCAAGCAAAGATGCTTCATTTGGTATTAGTGTTTTGAAATTTTGGTTTGGCAGAATCATTTTCTCACTCCTGAAACCGAACGTATAAAGAGCTTCGTGAGTATCATTAAGTACATTTTGCAGAAAAGACAAAGTGCGTCTTTAAATTGCAACTCACAATGGTTTTTCTTTGAAGGCATGAAGCTCAACTTTTTGGCAGGACAGTAACTGGCAAATCCATATGCAATTAATGCATTTAAAAGCCATATCAGGCAAGGTGAGAAGGGATTTAGCACGAACAGGGTTGTTTATTTGTGCGGCCTTGGTGATTTGTATTCAGATGAGTCTCGATATCAGGCAGGCAAAATAAACAACTTGCAACAAAGGGTAGTGTGCTTTGATTATGGAAAGTTGTATATGGGTCTAGTTATTACTTTACTGAATTTAGCTTTCTGGTCTTTATTGGATCACGAAGAAATTTTCCCCAATCGTTGAAAGAAACCTCTTGACAGAAGTGAGATTTGTCCTTCGACGGTGAGAATTGATCAAGATCGTTCCAATTGGTGGCTGATTTTTTCTTCTTTATCAGAGCATTTGCATGTATTTCTGTCTATCAGATCTTCCTTGAGTTTCCTTCAGATGGGAAAGTGCTGAAATTTCGATTCTCTTCTGTTCCTTTGTCTTCTTATTCTGCATCCCCTACCATTTTCTATTTTTCTGATGTTTGAAGAGCCCTAGCTTGAACTTTTTCTCAAGGAACCCATGATCTTTTGTTTTTTCTTATCTTTTCTAAATATTTTCTGGATTTTTTTTGGGTCTTATGAACTGCTCCACTGGGGCTGTAAAAGTGAGCAGGGAATGCTGAAAATCTGAATGTGATATATGGTTCATTTGCTGCTGAATCGAATTTTGCTGTTGGCAAAACTTTTGAAGGGTGTGTCTCATGCTGCCAATTATATTGTTTTAATCTTATGTAATGCGTTATTTTAATTTGTTTTTCAACTGTATAACCGTCAACTCAATCTACTACTTTTTTGCCGTTTTAATTTTCTTTTAAAGCGTCGTTTAGCTAAATATGTCCCTCCTGGAAGATCTCCCTTAGTTTTTGCTGGATTTTGTGAGAGAATTTTCTTTTCCCGGGTTTCTTTTTGTTATAAATTGAAGACTGTAAAGGATTGCTCTCTCTATTTGAAAGTGTTTTCCAAGTATTCTGCTCAGAAAATTTTTTCAACACTGAAAACTCTCTGTGATTCTTTTTTAGAAGCTGAAACCTGGAAGTTGTTTACATGGATCGATTGCCTTGGCCTTCTTCTTCAACATCCTCCTCCACCTCCTCCTCTCCACCTAAGGCGCATTCATTGTCAATTGGTGTGGAAGTCTGGATGATGGCTGAGCAAAGGATTCAAGAGATACTATCTACGATTCAACCAACCCCAGTTTCTGAGGAAAAAAGGAAGCAGGTTATTGAGCATGTTCAGAGAGTTATCAGAGGTCATTATGGGACTGAGGTGAATATTCTTTGACGTATACCCTGTATGCTTTGATGAATATCTTTAGCAGGATGAGGTTTTCTTCTTTACTCCAGTGCCTTATTTTCTTATGCTATCATCCTTACAGTTAGATCTAGCACTTCAACTTCTTCATTTCTTGCTTTGGTGGCTTGCATGTCTCTTTTTTTTGTTAAAATTTTTTATAATTCAATGAGAGCGTGCGATTGATATCTTTACTTATTGTTCCATGGAGTAGACTTGGTTGCTGCTATGGTCACTTCAACCGTATTTTCAGTAGCATATAATTAGCCTAGATTTGAATCTTCTTTCAGAGGAGCAGAAACTATCGGTTTTGTCATACTACTGATATGTGTGTGGAATGATGATGCACTTTCTTTGTTTATGAGGTGCTGATACCGTGAGAGACACACAAATTGTTCTATCCGTGAAAAGTTCTTTTATTGGATTCTACGATGATGTTGGTGTTTTGACAATTCTCGGAAAATAGGAGGTATCTTGGTAGGTCAGTTCGATTTTACAGTGTAATAACTTTTATGGATAGCTTTGCAAGAACTTGGACTGACGTAGGATCTGATAATTTACATGATTCCTATTCATTTTATTACTTTAGGCGCATGATGGAAGAATGGTTATATTTATCTTGTTTGAGTCCTTAGTCCACTACTATTCAAAGCAACATGAGGGCTGTCCAGATGGAGCTTCTTCTGTCAGGACCGCTGTTCCACATTTTTTTCTTTTGCAGACTATTCAATTACGCTCAAAAGTCAATGTTGTTAGATACAGGTAGAATTTATACCGGCTGCAGGGTTATGGTAATGATTGATGAATTATGTTACCCATTGTCGTCATTGAAGGTTGTTAAATGATTGTTTGAGGATTACAAAGCTTGCTGATTCTTATTATCAATATGTAATATCTGCGTGATGATCTAGATACAACTTGGAAATTCTCATACAGAATGTCTTCTTTGTCGTACATATGTTATATTTTGAGCCATTCCTTTTGAGATGTTTGGTCTCTGAAAGGTTGTACATGTAGGACCAATTTTTTTGTTAAGAAGATGACCTATAAGCTTATTTCAGGATTGATGACATCTGGTTTCTTTTAAGATTAGAACAATAACAGGTTTTTTCTCCTTGGGTGAAATTTCACAGGTCTTTGCATTTGGTTCCGTGCCTTTGGGAACATATATCCCTGATGGAGATATTGATTTGACAGTTCTTTGCTATAACGATGAGGAAGAAGCTTTTGCCATAGAGATCTGCAAATTTTTGGAAAATAGAAGGAGGGATCCAGACTTCCAAATAAAGGACATCCTTTATATTAATGCTCAGGTTAATCTTTAATTTTTTTGATTATATTGAAAGTGATGAGCTATTCCATTTATCATCTTTGAGATACATGTCCTTTCTTTCGGCATGTAGCTTCTTTTTTCACCTACTGCTACTTTGGGTGCTTCATATTTTGAGCTTTGGTATGTAGACCAATGAATATTTGATTGCTGAGTTAGTCATTCTTTATCTATTTATGACTGTTTAAATCTCAACATTGATTCTTGTGTGTATCGTTTTCGTGTCTTGTTCTGGATTTTGCTTCTGATCAATCAATCTATGTCCAAATTTTGGATACAATATGTCAAACTGGTATCTTGGTTTCCCAGTGGACTATTTGCTTGCAGCCATTACCATTCACATTGCATATTAATGAGGTTTAAAGGTGATCCTTCCTGTATTGAATATCTTTATTTGTTATATCCAAATGCAAATACTTTGGCTTTGAAGCCCTCATGCCCCTGTCATCATGGAGTTACATCATGACTTTGAGCATCCTAGTTGATTATAGCATGCCAAATAAGAAACATGTGTGGCTGTGATGATCCAAGATTGTCGTCATCTATAGAACCTCATAGATGTAAGGACTGGCTGATGCTAGTGTGGCTGTGGCAAGTGCTTAGCCACAGAAACTACAAATGATCACCATGTCATCTAGACGGATTTGGAATTGTTAATGTGGTTGTAAAAAGTGACAATATGAACTCATGGTTAGACCACTATGAGTTTATTACCTAAAAGTAATTTTTTGATGGTAGGTTGCTTCTACCTCGAATCATAAGAAGCACAAGTGCTAGGATCCAGATCAGGATCCAAGATTGTTACGATCATTTGACCTAAAAATTTCCAAACACTCCAAATATCAAATTGGTTATGCATTTGTTAATTTCTGTTTTCATTGTAATTAACAAAGCGATTGATTGATATGCTCCTAGCCTCCAATAGATCTTGCTGATTTAATTTCCATACAAGTTCATCTTATTTAGGTCGAATTTCATATATTTTGAGATTCTTGGTTCGAAATAAATTTTAGTTAAAGTTCCCTTCGTAAAGTGGAAATAGGCATCCAAATGAATATTCGTTTTGTGCTTTCATCTTATAAAAGTGTGAATTTTAGTTCCCAAGGATTATTCGTCTTTATATATGTGCCATTTGAAATTTCGAGGATCTTACTACCCACAATCCAATATAATTGGCTTATCTTTCAATCAACCCTATCTGCCTGTGTAGTGTTCATTGGATTTTAAAAACCTTGATAATGGTTGATGGTGCTAGAGCTGGCAAGCTAGCTTGGGATTGCAATACAGGCTCCTTTGGCCTATAAAAAAGAGGCCAAGACCCTTGAGCTTGAGACATTGCTTGCTCCCTTCTTCATGAGTATTTCAACTTGTATTTTTCTGGTGGCTCAATGGCACCGACATATTCTAAAATTGGGCTAATATGAATAATTGTCATTTAAAACTCAATGATATCTTAGGGTTATGATCAAAGGTGGCTTGTCATGGAAGCAAATGTGCATGGTATTATATGTAGGTAGAACCATAGGTCCTAGGTTTAATCCCCACAAGCGTCGCTATGGCATTAACATCAGTGGTTTTACATATAAATCATGCATTAGTGGTTAACTTCCATGCACATGTCGCCATACCAAGTCTGTCACTATCCGTGACTTCCTAAGTTTGCTTAAACTCAATTTGACTGATCTAACCCACTTTGATTTGATTGACAGAGGGAAAGGCTGGCTTAGTTATTTTTTCAACTCTGTCGGTACAAGTGGTTAATTGGACTGGATTTTAGCTTTTTATTGTGGTCGAACCTGGTCAATTTAATCATGTTTTAGGAAACATGAATACCAGCAACTACCTGTGGAAAATTCGCTGGTTCTCATATGGATGCTGTAAGTTTGGAGCAACCTCCTGTTATTGAGAATATTGTAGTTGCTGTTCTTATGACCCTCCCCTTTGTAACACACTAAAGAACTTGATGAGGTAGGACGAATCTCTTTAAGCTAATCCTTAGGCATCGAAAAGTTCCCGCGTTGAGCTCAATTGGGCATTTGGGAGCTTTGTACACAGACAACTGTAGCATGCATAAACTTTGAGGAGAAGCACGAATTTCATTAGTGCTTGATGATCACCTCCTTCCATGTTGTCGTGTGGCTACCTCACCACTCTCATCAAAATCATAAGTAGCGTTTAACGGGAGACTAAAGGGAGAAAATCATGAGAAGGGTTGGCATATGTTTCAATTTGAGAGTTTAATTTTCAATTGAATAGGACTTGATGGTGGACCTTTAAAACATAAGTCATATCTTAATGGATGCCCATAACCATGTGAGCAATTGTAGTTTGCCGAAAAAACAAGAAATTTGGCTAGCTCTAGTGGCTTGCACACTCGATTTTAAGGCTTGATCTTGTCCATCTCTCTTTTTAAAGGGCCAGGGCGATTTTTTTGCGTTCAAAACAATAAATTTGAGTGATAACAGGTAAGTTATCTACACCATGTTACCCTGTTCAATTAATTGTAGCTATTAAGTTGGAAAGAAAGTCATTTGTTTTCTATCTAGAACTCCTGTGAGCTCTGCCCCACTTTGTTTCATGTGATGCAGTTGAAAAGAAGGTACAAAAGATTGTTGAGGGGTCTAGATCTTTGGTTGCTTTTATTTCGTACTTGTTATTCGTATTGTTATCATCCTGTCCTGATTTTGTATAGTCTTGTGATGTTTTACTTTTTATTTTTTGTTTTTCTGTATTTTTCTCCTTGTACTTTTTTTAATGTACTTGACTTTTTCTACTAATGAAATCCTTTATTTTCTTTTTAAAAGAAGAAAAGTGCCACATATAGCATGATCTTTGTCATATCTTGGTTCCGTTAGCTATAATTGTAGGATCAAGAAAAACTGACAGATGTTATGGATCCGATACAGTTTGCCCGATGTGGGTTTGGAATGATGTATGCTTTTTACTTTTGCTTTTACCTATACTTTAGGCTTTGGTGGTTTCGCCAACTCACAACTATGTACATATTGAGATTTAAGGTCATTTAAAACCATGTAGATTTTTTCACATTATTTTTTGGAAATCAATACCGTACATTATTCTTGTCTTGGTGGATAAGTCACTAAATATTTATTGATTCATTAGAGGTTCCCCTAATTGGACCCCTACTGTTTTGTGATTTGAGTGCTTGTACCTACGATTTTAAAATTAGGCTATATCTATTACTTTTTTTTTTCAAATTAGAAAAGGTGTCAATCAAAGAGAATTCCCAATTGCATACTAGATTTTATCTTAAAAAGATATTATGAGAATGGTGATGGGACAATCAGACAAGTAGAATTAACTTGTGGCGAAGTGGCCGGTGACCAATGAATGGGCTGGTTTCTCTGTCTATCGATGGTGATGGCGACAAAGTGCCGTTGGTGGCAGATATAAGGAAAAGCATATCAGATGGTGTTGGTGGTTGGTAATAATGGTAATGGAGGTCAGCTCATTTGTTTCGGAGGCAGGTGGCAGATAGGGTCTGCTAAACAAATGCTAGCATGAGGATGCTATTAGGTGGTGAAGTGATTGCAGGTTGATTGAAATGAAATTGGCAATTTGGTCATAAATCAGAAACTCCAGTAGCAAAAACAAGAAAACAATAGGTTTTCTTTCATTCAACTTCTTCGTAATAAAACCTGTCCATTACTGCCAAATAACTGGATAAATTACAGTCATGGAAAGTTGCATATAGTCCCTTGACCTGGATGTAGTCTTTGTACTTCAGTATCATCATCATGGACTTGACCCTTAATTTGACTGTGTGTGCTGTATAATCTTTGATGGGGCGTTGAATTTACTATTGAGGATAGATCAACTATTGAGTCCGATTGTAGGGTTTACCATGACAGAACATTGGCTTGCTCTTTGTTGGCCATAGTGACTAATGAGGAGAAGTCATATTCTGTGTTGCAATGGCTAAATTAGTCTTTTTAGAATATTGCTTCTTGGCGTAATCAATCTAATTTCACAGCTGTCTCATTGTCGGGAGATGCCCAAGAATCAGGAATTGGAATTAATAGTTTAATATGCGATCCACCTGTCTTCTTCAATTCTTCTTTATAAGGAGCTGACTTATTAGGAAATTGTGAACATTGATTACAACGTCGGAGTGCTATGAAGTGGGATTCTCTCCTGTCCTAGTGATACAAATTTTGTAGTCCCTTATCATACTGAATAGAACGACTTACAAGCTGGTACACTTATAGATTGTTATTTGTTGCCAAATTAGGCAAGTTATTGTTATAAAGCTAAGTAAGAGCAAGTTAACGGAACAAATAATTAAAGCTTATGCAGATTCAGGGCCATAGCATGTCTATTGTAGAAATTAATCTGATACGGACATCCCTTTCTTTTGTCTAGTTACTGATGAGTCTAAGTGAAGGACTACTATTGGAAACTGTAATAGGAAATTGTTTAGCAGGAGAATCACAGTAGCATAATTACCTAGAGGAAAGAATTAAGAAACTGACAATTGTTGAAAGAATATATTTTTTACTCCCGTTATAGGTTGATTTGTGAAAGACTGGACTTAAATCATAATGATGTGGATAATCAGATAAGTTAAAATCCCCAAGTTCCAGAATTTAGGGTGGCAAGTTCAGTGAACTTCTCAAATTTGGAGTTTTTCCTTCGCATGTGCATCTTTCCACTTCACCATCCCGATAGAAATGGTCAAATCAGTTTTCATAGATGTAAGGTACATTGTATGGATGATGATTATAATGGACAAGCTGTACTCTCCATAATTTTATCAGAGTAAGCATGAAGTGTGTTAAATCTTCAGTTTCTTATTTGCTGACCCAACTTCTTTCATCATTCTGTGAAATGCGAAGTAGAACTTCCCTTAAGCGAATGGAACTAAGATTATCTAGTTTGAACTTGATGTTCGGTTTCTTGTGGCAGGTAAAGATTGTAAAATTCTGTATGGAGAGCATAGCGGTGGATATAACTTTCAACCAGCACGCTGCGCTGAGTACTCTGTGCTTTCTGGAGCAGGTATTATCTAAAATTTAACTGAAAACATAGGTATTGTGTGGGGAAAAGTATTTTATGCGTCAGTCACGCGGCTGATGTTGTGTGACCAACCAATCAATTGCTCGCATATATATGCTTGCCATCCTACGCAGAGCTTAAATTTTGGAATCAGTCACTTCGTTTGACTTGTTAACCGTCGGATGAAATACTTTCTCCAATTGGGATTTTAAGACGATGCCCACTAACTTATGGTGGCCCTAACGAAGATATTTAAGTTAATGTGATCTTGATTATGTGTTTCTGATGAGCATAATCCTCCCAGGTTGATGAACTAATGGGGAAAGATCATCTTTTCAAACGAAGTGTTGTCTTGACCAAAGCCTGGTGTTTCTACGAGAGCCGAATTCTTGGTGCTCACCATGGCCTAATTTCAGCATATGGGTTGGAAATGATGGTCTTGTACATCATCAATCTCTTCCATTCATCTTTGAATGGTCCTTTAGGGGTGTGTATTCTTTGTTTGAAGAATCCTTAATGCATGCGAAAGCAGGAGACATTGACTTGAATTATTGTGTATAGGTATTATACCGGTTTCTGGACTACTACAGCACATTCGATTGGGACACTTACTGTGTGAGTGCATATGGTCCAATTGCAATATGTACGCTCCCAATAGGTAAGTGGCAGTGGATTGTCCCATGTTTCTCATTTGCATCTATAAGCAGATAGAGCAAAGGCCTTCTCTTTCCATCCGCTCTTCCCGAATAACCTCCTTTGTGCTTTTCCCAGAAGAGCTGCCAGAGAATGATGGTGGTACTTTACTCCTTGGTAAGGAGTTTTTTAGAAACTGCAAGGCAATGTTCTCTGGCCCAACTAATGCACTTGAGACAAGAGCTCAGGGGTTTCCTGTTAAGCACCTAAATATTCTGGATCCTTTGAAGGACAACAACAATCTGGGGCGTAGTGTAAATAAAGGTAGTTTACTATTTTGCCTACCCATTCTACTTTTCTCTCAGTTTTAGATGTTAAAGTTATAGCTCTAAGCCTTAGGCTTCCCTGAAGGAGATGGAAAGCATAAATAGGATACCCATGCTTTTTATAAGCTGCCATTGCCATGCGATATGCATGACAATGAGTGGGTATTCTATCTTGTAAAGTCTAAGACCTCGATATATTCATCGAAGAGGCCGATACATACTATTATTGACATTAAAGAAATTTACAATTCAGATTGTTATTTCAATGCCTTACTTCTTTGAGTTGCCATGAATGACAATGAGCAAGTGTTTGATATTGTGAGACGGCAAGACTGTTGGATATTAATCTGGTTAGAGTTGCCAGTGTTTAGTTTTTCTCACGTTGCTAGTGTTCTGGATCTTGACCTTGTCGACATACCACTTCTTTCATCTATTAGTATACTACCGCATGTTTAATCCTTTTACAGTAAGAGCACAGATTCTTCTGTCATAAAAGCAATGAAAACATAACTAAGTTCTATATCTATGCTTGATGAGACCAAATACTGATGATTGGAAGGGCATCACATCTCGGTTCTTTAGGGCCGAGCAATTTCTTGAGATTATCTGCTTAGTTTGTTGATAATGACATTAATTTGTACAGCAAATTTCTATCGGATGAGATGTGCACTTGCTTATGGGGCCCAAAAGCTTGGAGAGATTCTCATGCTACCTGGACAGAGATTGCTTGAAGGGATAGAGAGTTTCTTTCAGAACACTCTGGATAGAAATGGAAGAGGCATGAGGCCAGACATAGAACTTCCAGTTTCTGTATTTGGCACTGGAACAATTGAAGTAGCTGATCTGGCTGGAGATTTTCCAAGTTACTATAACAATTTAGTTTGTAGTCAGTGGCATTATGAGCACAACTTGTTTGCTGATGAGCTGAATACGCCACTATCAGTTCAGAACAACAGTACATGGGATGGGCTACAGCGATTGCCAAGTCGCAACCGAGCTTCACTCTTTCGAAAAGGCACAGATGTTTTCTTCCCAAAGCCTGTCAACTGCTATGCAAGTACTATTGGGCTATCTGCTGCCTTGTTGGAGACTGAAGAAAACGTAAACATACGTGCGAACAATCCTCCTAACCGTGCAACAGGTCCTTTCACCCACCGTGCTATGGTAATTATCTAATTCCCTGAGATTTCAATTTTATGGATACTGGTCTCTAGTTCTTTGAGTGAAGTGCAGTGAGGGCTTGAAGTTTCATTTTCAATAGCGAATCTGAGCTTCACTGCATATTGATTCAGTGGACCCTTCGACATTGGTATCCATCCACACTCAAAAGGCATTTGATGACTACATTTTCTCCTTTGAGAAGTCAGAATTTTTACAAAGAGCAACGATTGCCTATTTTTGGACTTGTTTCTCTAAACTTTCTGCGTGAAGATGGCACGAACCATACAGGCAATTTAGAGAGAGAGAGAGAGAGAGAGAGAGAGAGAGAGAGAGAGAGAGAGAGAGAGAAGCATAATCAAAATCTCAATGGCGATGTCCTGGACATCTTGAGTTTTTGTTTGGTGATAATAAATACGAATATAGGTTGGGTGTCGTATTGTCATAATCAAAGGTTTTGGCTTTTAAGTTTGATCTAATCATATAACCTATTCTTCCTATATGTTGTAAAGCAGTGGAATGATTAGGAAAGCAATGCTTAACTGAATTATTTGAGAATGCAGAGCCATCGATTTGACAGAAGAACGCGGCAGTGGACTAGGCTGATGAGTCCCGGATCTACTGCCTGGGATGCAGAAGCAAAAACAAGTGAGATGGGAAACCGGGATGAGTTTCTGGAGATGGATGGGGTTGAAAATTGTCTGAACTGTACAGCAATTCAGATGGAAAAACAAGACGCCAGGGAAACTGAGAGCTGTCTTGATCTCTCACTTGAGGCTTTCCCGCTTCTTCCGCGCCGTGAGAAGTCAACGCAGCATACCTTCAAGTTTGGTACTTTCGATTGCCCTGGACTGGGTTATTCAGGTCATTTTGCCGGGGAGTCATCGGGGAGTGTGCCAATAACGGATGTTAAGGAGCAGCTAGGTTCATCACTGGAGAGCGTGTAGGGCCTTCCTTTTCTCTGTGCCAGTTTACTGAAGCAATGAAATATCAAAAGTTGATGGTCTAATTCTTGTGTGTATTCGTTTGGGCAGGACTCTGACTCAAGTTGTCCAGTGCGATGATAATGACTTTCCGCCACTGTCCCTGTGATGGATTGTTTAGCATATGGGTGATATGAGACGTTTGCTGAACAAAGAGTTCTATATCTTGAGCCTGAACTTCAGTTTATACCGGTTCTGATTTTAACATAACCAGACCCGGTTCTTTTCTTTTTCTCCAAAGACGTGACAAATCATCTTAGGAACGAGCGAGCTGCAAATGGTTTACAGATGTTTTGTGCTCCCGCCATATTATTGGTGAGTAGAGGTAATTGTCTGAGACATTTTTACTAGGTGGTGTTAACAGAAGACCTTGAGACAATTTGTTTCTGGTTTCTGTGACTGGCCTTTATTGGAACTAATGATGTTATCTATATTGTGCTCAGATTGTTCACTAACTAGTTTGGTGATCAATTGTTTGTTGTTTACGAAAATAACTCTGTTCAAAGCTGAACTACACTTGCTAGAACCAAGCAATGCATCTTTTGCCATCTTAGAAAGGGAAAATATCACAAAAAACCCCAAACTATGCCACTTGTGATAAATTTACTTTGAATTTTTTTTTTGACCCGAAAAATTCTAAATTATGCCACTTGTGATACATTTACCTCACAATACTTTGACCATGGGTATTTTCGTCTTTTTTCTTTTTCTGTTTGTTTTCCTTTTTTTTTCTTTTCCGGCGAGGGTCGCCCTCGCCTGGGCCAGCGAGGGCTGCCTTCGCCGGATCAGCCCTCGCCGGAAAAAAAAAAAAAAAGGAAAAAAAGCAGAAAAAGGAAAAAGACAAAAATGCCCATGGCCAAAGTATTGTGAGGTAAATATATCACAAGTAGCATAATTTGGAATTTTTCGTGTCACAAAAAAAAATTCAAGGTAAATTTGTCACAAGTGACATAATTTGGGGTTTTTTGTGGTATTTTCCCTCTTAGAAATTCTTGAACCCTTCTCTCTTTTTGGGTTTTTTGTGGCCAGAAAAATTTCCTAGAAACTAGTGCGATGGATAGGACAACTTTCAGGAAGGTGGAATTAAATTCATACATGAGCGGTTATGCTTTGATTTTTTAATGGTAACACAATAAATAACCAAAAGCAGGAACTTTGGCCACTTATTCATATGAATCAAAACAATATAAACATCGTTCTTTTGAGAGTTTCAAATGAGCTGCAGAGCTATCTTCAAGTGGTACCGCCCTAGTGCAAAACCACACCTATGGGTGGTGAACTAGATCTCCCAGCGAGTAGTACTGCCCTAGTGCAAAACCACACCTATGGGTGGTGAACTAGATCTCCCAGCGAGTAGTACTGCCCTTATGCAAAACCCCACCTATGGGTGGTGAACTAGATGTCCCAGCGAGATACCACATGAGGCGTGAAAATATACATGTGGCAATCATGTGCATCGACTCGAGAACTGAAGGACGATACTGCATCATCTGCAACTTGTTCGTGCTGTGAAACCAAAGTATATTAGAGACCAAGGAAAAGTTAAAAAGATCAATAGCTTGTTCTTCTTAATATTGACAGTAGATATTATTTCATGCTAAGAACGCCCTTCGCACATCCTTACCTTCCACAAATCTCGAATAGAGACGCTAGTGCTAGATTCAAGCCCAATTGCTTCCCAATTAGCAGTGATGGTGGCAGCTTTTGAGCATCGGTTCCACAGAGCAACAACCAAGTTGTGTCCCGACAATGGTCCCGCCCAAACCTGATGTCCAGTTTTGCCAATAATTATCTTGTGGATAGAAAGATGCTACATGAAATTGCATTCAAGATTTTATCGAGAGAGGCTCTCTTTAACTAACAAATCCCCACTTGCAGGGCACTCTGGTTGAACATAAAGTCCATGTTGGCACTTATTTCCAAAGACACATACGATGCAGACATGATTAAACCCCAATGTCCAGTTAAAGTGGCTGTGTTAAGGGTAACCTCCGTGACCCTGCCTTGAAGTGATTGAACTCAATGGTTTCATGGTTTTTCAGGGGGAACCTGACATTTGGATATGCTCGTGTCTGGTTACCCCACATTAGCACTCTCAAATGCACATCTAGACTATAGCGATTTTGCTATAAGATGAAGTGTGGGATCACCTGCTTGCAACCATCAGTTCCTGAAGAGTGGACCTTCCTTCCCTGGACACCAAGTGAATCTGTGACAAGAAAAGATTGTTATTCTACTAGTACAAAACACACAGAGGATTGAAAGTAAATTATGTAATTGGACCAGAGATACGGTACAGATTATATTATCGTTTACAGACACCTCGTCCTTGATCATGTGATGAGCGTAAGATAAGTGGGGTCAATCTCAAGCTTTACCTTGGTTTACAGCAATGACTTCTGTATTGCTTAAAAGCTCCATTGTTTCTGCAGTCACGTTTCTCACGTCACAACCAATTAAAAGAGGGGCCTGCACAATAAGAAAAGCTGCTGAATCAAATTATCCATAAAAGAAATTCGGTGTTTTCTGAAACAAAATTTTGCCACGATATTGCATGCATGGTCTGATTCCTAATAATTCTTAAGCAGAAGTTCTTTAATGTTGATGCCTTGAGATAAGTGAGACTTATGTAGATAAATGAGGCAACATATATTGGCTTTATGAAGTTTTGGTGGTTGAACTTAAAGATTTGAGCTCGAGAGTGGAACTGACTGGACATCCTCCATAAACTTGCTTCGTAGTGAAGCAGAGAAGTAAATTTACTTGCAGAATGACACCATGAATTATTTAATTGCTCTACAACCCAGAAGTGACTATATGAAAGTCAAAAATTGTAGGGGAAACCTTCATCAGAGCCCAGATGCTAAAATGAGCACGGTATTCCTGGTAAGTCATTCCTCCATTGCCAACTTCGAGCATATCAGGATCTGCTTGAGAAAATAAAAGCTAAGAAATAAAGATCACACTTCCATCATATAATCAAGCGTATATGCGAAGCATGCCCGGAATGCTGAATTTTACCATTCCATCCTCCAGGTCCTGCATAGGCCGCCCACTTATCATTCAAATCTGCAATAGTAGTCATACTGAAAAATGAAGAAAGAGACACTTAATCAGCAACTGTTATGAGCTACATATTGTGCAGCAGAATTATAGTGGATTTTGATGCTGCAAACAAATGATTCACTCTTTTACTTGTGAAATTAATGCATCTGGATAGAGGATGCTCCAGACAGTACAAGACATAAGATCAAAAACTTCACATTAGATGCTCTATTGCACTAAATGCAAAGCCATTGTCACTGTTTTGATTGGTTCATAGAGGTACCCTAGAATCTTCTAAGGAAAATGTCTGCCTGCATTAAAAATGACACAGCACCTGACTTCCAGACACTATCCAGAGGGATATGATTATGCACAAAATCGCTAAAGACACTCAAATTTATCATGCATACCTCCCAGGGCATTTGCTAGTGCTTTCGCTTTGTCTAGAATGATTTATGTGATGTTATGATTGACTTGCCATTCCAAAGTCAAATTATCTGCTCCTATGAGTTAAAATATGTAGCTCCTTGGTCTCAACACAGGAAACACTCATGAATTATCTGCCTAATAAGCTCATGCTGTGACAGATAGTCCTCACTTTTATTACCTTTCGCCTTAAAACCAGAGTTACAGGACTAAATCACCATTGCATAAATGATATAGTAAGAGCCTACCTTACCCAAGAGTCATTTATGTCATCTGTTGTTCGCCAACTATTCCCAACTTTTCCTGCCCATAAGGCAGGATCATCAACACCCCTGCCCAACCAAGAACAAATTAATATTTCTGCATACTAGAGAAACCCTCAGATACTAGCACAGCCAGACTAAAGCTTTACCATTCACAGAGGGAGTAGAAAATCGTCCTTCCAGTTGCATTTAGAGCATCACGCATTGGTGGATATCTTGAAAGTAGTTTAAGTCAATTTCAAGGCACTCACATATTAGATTCAGAGAGAGAGAGAGAGAGAGAGAGAGAGAGAGAGAGAGAGAGAGAGAGAGAGAGAGAGAGAGAGTTGAATGAGAAGAAACCTTTCTTCTGGTTTGATTCCCAGATTGTAACAGTTGTCATACTTCAAATAATCCACACCCTGATAATACAACATAAGCAAGAAAAGAAGTTTATGACTATAGAAGTAACTAGAATGATTTTGAAAGAATAATCTATATTGGACTGTTGATAAGAAAAAGAAAACTAACAGAAGGTGGAAATATTAGCACGCATAGAAAGAAAATTGGAGCCAGTTCACTCAAATTTCTAATTTATTTCCAAAGTAAACAGGAGATGAGAGGCCGTCATTATAAGAGGAAATAAAAGCATTTGCAAGTATTTCTGTAAGTGTTGCACTCAATTTAAAAGAATCACTTCAAAGGTGCTTATGTCAGAGAATTACAGAGTATGGGTTTGACTTTAAATAACATTATAAACCAGTCAGCACTAAGGTGACAGAAACTAACCCAGGAAGCAAAGAGCTCTGCATCATCATTTTCATGGTACAATGATCCAGGTCGAACTTGACAAGTAAAAATCCTTCAAGAGAATTATATGAGTTAGCAAAAACAGAGAGATGTCAAAGAGCAGTCACTCAACCTAAAAGCCTTCATGCTCTGAAGATAATGCCGCTATTTTAAACCTCATCCTACCCAGCATCAGAATAAATACCGAGCTTGAGGCCTTTGTCATGTACATAATCAGCAAGTGCTTTAATTCCTGACGGGAAAGTTTTTCGATCAGGGACAAGTTGACCCTACAAAACCAAACGAAATGTATGAGGAGGTTTATCCAATTCTGGTTATAACAGACTCCGAGGTCACACACACACACACACACACACACACACACATATATAAACAAAGAGAATTTCTATTAAGGTGAATCAATGAGCCACTTCAGCTAGCACGAACATATCAAATTTCTTGAGAAAGTATATTTTTTGAATGGACTGAAAATTTGCCTTCGCCTCCTCCATCTTACTTGAAGGATCAAAGCTATAGAGAAATATTGCAAAAGCTAGGCGGAACATATTCATACATTTAGACTCTGGCATACTCATTAACCAAAAGCGGATGCCCAAAAATCCTAATGTTAAAATAGAGGGTTTAAAAGAGTACATGAAGCACAAGATTAGGATCACCGTCTTGTTAGGTCCTGAAAGTTAATGATTGCTAGTAGTGCACCTCATAAAAAGACTCCCTCTTGAATGTAAGATGAATCAATTTGTCCAATTATCGAAGTAGAAGTTTGGAGGCAAAACCAATCTCAAGACCCATAAAGAAGGAAGAAAATGCGATCTGGATGAGCTACAACTTTTCGGCAGAAATTCATAGCATGTAAACAAGATTTTAGTAGATTTCAGAGGTTGGCAGTACACTGTGAAGGATAAATT